CTTCACAGAATTGGAAAAAAACTGCTTTAAAGTTCATATGGAACCAAAAAAGAGCCCACATTGCCAAGACAATCCTAAGCCAAAAGAACAAAGCTAGAGGCATCATGCTACCTGACTTTCAACTATACTACAAGGCTACAGTAATCAAAACAGTATGGTACTGGTACCAAAACAGAGATATAGACCAAAGGAACAGAACAGAGCCCTCAGAAATAATACCACACATCTACAGATATCTGATCTTTGACAAACCTGACAAAAACAAGAAATGGGGACAGGATTCCCTATTTAATAAATGGTGCTGGGAAAATTGGCTAGCCATAAGTAGAAAGCTGAAACTGGATCCTTTCCTTACTCCTTATGTGAAAATTAATTTAAGATGGATTAGAGACTTAAATGTTAGACCTAATACCATAAAAACCCTAGAAGAAAACCTAGGTAATACCATTCAGGGCATAGGCATGGGTAAGGACTTCATGTCTAAAACACCAAAAGCAATGGCAACAAAAGCCAAAATTGACAAATGGGATCTAATTAAACCAAAGAGCTTCTGCACAGCAAAAGAAACTACCATCAGAGTGAACAGGCAACCCACAGAATGGGAGAAAATGTTTGCAATCTACTCATCTGACAAAGGGCTAATATCCAGAACCTACAAGGAACTCAAACAAATTTACAAGAAAAAAAACAAACAACCCCATCAAAAAGTGGGCAAAGGATATGAACAGACATTTCTCAAAAGAAGACATTCATACAGCCAACAGACACATGAAAAAATGCTCATCATCACTGGCCATCAGAGAAATGCAAATCAAAACCACAATGAGATACCATCTCACACCAGTTAGAATGGCAATCATTAAAGTCAGGAAACAACAGGTGCTGGAGAGGATGTGGAGAAATAGGAACACTTTTACACTGTTGGTGGGACTGTAAACTAGTTCAACCATTGTGGGAAACAGTATGGCGATTCCTCAAGGATCTAGAACTAGAAATTCCATTTTGACCCAGCCATGCCATTACTGGTATATACCCAAAGGACTGTAAATCATGCTGCTATAAAGACACATGCACACATATGTTTATTGCGGCACTATTCACAATAGCAAAGACTTGGAATCAACCCGAATGTCCATCAGTGACAGACTGGATTAAGAAAATGTGGCACATATATACCATGGAATACTATGCAGCCATAAAAAAGGATGAGTTTGTGTCCTTTGTAGGGACATGGATGCAGCTGGAAACCATCATTCTTAGCAAACTATCACAAGAACAGAAAACCAAACACCGCATGTTCTCACTCACAGGTGGGAACTGAACAATGAGATCACTTGGACACAGGAAGCAGAACATCACACACCTGGGCCTATTGTGGGGAGGGGGCAGGGGGAAGGGATAGCATTAGGAGATAACCTAATGTAAATTACGAGTTAATGGGTGCAGCACACCAACATGGCACATGTATACATATGTAACAAACCTGCACAGTTGTGCATATGTTCCCTAGAACTTAAAAAAACCAAAAAAGATCCAAAGATGGTATTATCCAACAGACATGGTTTATGAGTTTCAGTTAGGCCCTAAATTTTCTTCTCAACTCTTCAGTGAAACTATTAGGTTGATGTTACTTGCCCAATGCCTCAAGTCTCACAGACTTGTATCCACCTTGATTCCACTAGACTGAGATAATTTAAACAGATGAAGTATATATGAAGATATCATTCAGAATGTGTTTTGCCTGTTTCCTTTTGTCCCAATGCACTTAACTTATAAGGACTACAACTTCCAAGATGCAACGCTAGAAACGCCCCTTCCTGCCCTTGCACATTAACTTTTCCTAGCTCTTGTTTACTGGTAATCTCTAACTGGATGAATTCAAGCATGGCTAGTGTGCAGTGCGAGTAGGAAGTGTGCCTATGTGTCTCTGTGTTGTCTGAGAGAAGTAGGGAACCAGTAGGTTGGCTTCTTAAAAACACCATTCATTCAATATGGGTACAGCTTCTTCATTTCTCAGTTGCCATAGACTTTAGGTTTTTAAATAAAACTGTAGAGGTAGGATACACAATTTTTTTAAAAAAATCTTTCATCAAGGAATGTTTGTTCGGTTCCCAGTGAGTAGCAGAGGTAGGCCAACAACCTTTTATTTTTAGTCCAGTTCTATTGACTTTGCAAATTACAGTAGTTGCAATTTTTTGGAATTTCTGGAAGTAGGCTGACCTTGACTGTCAGTCCTAGTTTCATTGTCATTCTAAGTTTTCATCTTTTGTTTTTGTTTACATGTTCATGAGTATTTTGCTGGAAAACATCCCTCAATACGGATGTTAGTCAGAAATACTTAAAAATTGGAACTCTCATCTTTTTATTTCTATTTAAACCAGTGGTTCTCAATCTGTGGTCCTTGAACCAGTAGAATCAGCATTACTTGAAAACTAGTTGTTAATAGAAATGCAAATTCTCAGACCCCTCCCCAGACCTACCTAATCAAAGACCCTGGAGGTAGGGCCTCGCAATCTGTCTTAAAAAGCTCTCCAGGCTGACATTTGAGAACCAAAATTAGTGGCTCTCAGATTTTCCTAATCACCTCAAATAATCACCTGGGGAAACTTAAGAAAACCAATTCCCAGCCTCTACTCAGATAAGTTAAATCAGAATCTCTGGAAGAGAAGATCAGGTTTCAGTACTTTAAAAATACTCACGTAAATGTGAAGATGATTCTAATGTGCTGCTCTAGTGAATAACCAGTCATGAAAATCTTCAACTCATAGGGAGTGAAATGTAATAACCCACAGAATAAAATACGTTTAGAGTTTCAAGAAATACTAGACAGAACTTCACTTTATAAAGGAGGGAATGAAGTTCCTAGCTTGGATATATTTCTACCATATCACGAAGCCACATGCTTATTACTGTTTGAGGCCTGAGACAAAGTCTTGTACTTCTTTAGTGTTCCTAACCCAGCCCAGTGTTTACACAGCAGGTATTTATACCTAAGTGTTAACTGGCTAAGAAACTAAACAAAAAAAACCTTTTTATGAAGAGACAGTTATTTCCATTCTGTGCATAGAGTAGATGTATGGTTTTGCTGAAAATATGCCACTCCTTCACGCATAGAACCTAGTAGGTTTAAAGAAATATCAGTGCCTAAGGCTTTGATAACCTCCACATGAAGAAATGTTCACGGCTCCTCTTTTCACGGTTGAGGTGTTTTCTGGACATGAGAGGCAGCTCCGGGAACCAAATTTTGGCTGGTAAGTGCCCAGTGGACACGATTCACAAGTCTCAAGTCCGCTGTATGAGTAGGTGCCTTGTTTACACTGAGCTGAAAAGAAAAAGGTAATATTATTATCAACAATGATATTAAGCCGCACAAAATTAGCACTGTGTGGGACAGGGTTTTCTGCAACTTAGGACAGAATGAGGAACCCAGAGGGCTCTTTCTCCTGTTAGCTAAGCATATGCATATTGTGGCACCACCATGCTTCTCTATACTAAGTTTTAGACTATTTCCATTTACTTCCATTATGACCTTTTACAGCGTTTGATGCATAGAACATGTTCAATAAACAGCTGTCAAATGAAGTTAGAAATACATAGCACAGAAGGCCACTATGATAGGAACAAGTTGTACACTGGGAATTTGTTCATGTAGAAGTTTTCAATATGTACACTGTTATCCTGAGTGGCGGAAACAAAACCCCAAACCTAGCTAGCGCCTTATAAACTACTCTGACATCTCTGCTTTAAAAAAGAACTGGCTGCTCTAAATAAGAACTAGCTCTGCTACCTCCTCTTACCTAGAGACGCCATTTCATCCAAGGGCTGGTGAGGAGTAGAGCATAAAAGTAGACATACCTTCAGGCCCAGAGAGGTGAAGCAACTTTCTAAATTCATAAGGATGATTTGTAGAAGAAGAGGACTTTGGCCACATGCCCTGACTCCCAGAGTACTGACCTTTCTTTCTGCTTTTGACCGCCAAACAACTCTCCTTTTCACCATTGCTAACACGTTTAGTGCATTTCCAATTACGCAGCACTGCTCTAGAGTTTATATCAGTCATTAAGCACCCACACCTGCATTCAGAACTATGGCAAAGAAGCACGCTTCTGAAATTCCTTATTTTAGGCATGTCTTGCTGCAACCTTAATTATGAGAGAAAAATGTTTCCATCAGGAACTCTTATTAAAAATAATAGTTAAAATATTTTGAAAATATTGAATATTTTAGTAGCAAGAATATGTGCGTATGTGCTTGTAGTTATTCATTTCCAAGTAAACGGAGAACTGATCTCATCACATCAGACACTATTCTAACAAAAAGCAATTCAATAATTGCAAAGTGTCATGAAACTTCTTCCCATTAATTAATGTGAGATTCAAGAAAAGAATCCAGGTGATAGATACAGTTTGGATGTGGGTCTCTGCCCAAATCTCATGTTGAAATATAATCCCCAGTGTTGGAGGTAGGGTCTGGTGGGAGGTGACTGGATCATGCGGGTGGATTTCTCAGGGCTGGCTTAGCATCATACCCTTGGTGCTGGTCCAGTGCTAGTGAGTGAGTTCTTGTGATACCTTATTGTATAAAAGTATGTGGCACCTCCCCTGTCTCTCTTTTTTACTTTTTTTTTTTTTTTTTGAGACAGGGTCTTGCTCTGTCCCTCAGGCTGGAGTACAGTGGTGCGATCATAGCTCACTGCAGCCTCCACCTCCCGGGCTCAAGCAATCCTCCCACCTCAGCCTTCTGAGTAACCGGGACTACAGTTGCACACCACCATGTCTGCTAATTTTTGTATTTTTTGTAGAGACAGGATTTTGCCATGTTGCACAGGCTGGTCTTGAACTCCTTGGCTCAAACAAACTGCCTGCCTCAGCCTCCCAAAGTTCTGGGATTACAGGTGTGAGCCACCACACATTCCCCTCGCCCTGACTCCCTGCCTTGCTCCTACTTTCTTCGTGTGACATGCCTGCTCCTTATTTGCCATGATTGGAAGCTTCCTGAGGCCACCCCAGAAGCAGATGCTGCTATGCTTCCTGTATAGCCTGCAAAACTATGAGCCAATTAAAACTCTTTTCTATATAAATTACTCAGTCTCAAGTATTCCTTTATAGCAATGTCAGAATGGCCTAATACACCAGGCTAACTGATGAATGCGGATTGGAGTTTAACTTAGAGCAATGGAATATTTCCAAAAGAAAAGCTAAATGGACTTCGTTAAAGTGGGGGAAACACTCAGGTAATATTTTATGTTTAAAAGAAAGAAAAAATAAATAACATTGCTTTCTGTACACTATTATTTCATTTTATTTGCCATTTAGATTTCAGGACTGTGATGGGGCTTAGGACATCCTACCTGCAAATATTGTACCTTGCTTTGGCATACTGAATATTTCAAGCTAAAGGAAATTTGAGAAAACCATAGAAGCAGGAAAGCGTCTCTGAACTTCTGCCTTTCTTTCCTTTAGGAGATTGTAAAACCTAGAAATAATTCTTTCACCTTCCCCTTTGAAGCAGGCTGTAAAACCCTCATGTGAGGAATGCCCACCCTATAAGAGGTGGGCAAGAGGAAAAAAATATTCCTATCCCTGAAGACACAGGGACACATTGAAGAATCTGAACAATCAAGACTTGCTAAGCTCCACTTAACTTATTCTCAATAGATCATTCTTCTCCACAAGTATCCTCTTCTTCATCGAATTTAGCGTAAAAATACACAGGTTTTTCTGGTTCATTTCTGAAGGCTCCCATTTCACCTAAAACTTACATTGAATAAATGTGTATGCTTTTCTCTTGCAAATCTATCTTTTGCCATAGGGGCCTCAGACAAGAGCCTAGTATTGGGTGAAGAAAATAAATCTTTCTTTCCCCCAAAAGGGAAACAAAAATTGGGCTTCTTTAGTTGAAATGTCCAGTAAGCCTCTACCTTTACAATCAGAGATGTTTCTTGAATGGATATATTCTGTGTACATCCCAGAGGGGCAAGGCTTGCACTCAAGTTGCCCTTCTTCGTCTTGATAGGATCCGATCCGGCAGCTTTCACAGGTGAAATGTTCCAGAGAATAATAGGTTCCCAAAGGGCAATTGACTGCAGAAAAAGCAAACAGGAAACAGCGAATAAACTACAACGGTGGAACACACTGGGCTCTTTTTTCCTAAGACATGTAAGTAATAAAGCATGCTTGCAGGTGCTATTGTTTATGGGTTAAATTTTATGGCCAGAGGTTTATTCACAAGGTAAACCTTTCAGAAATATATTCCCAGAAACCAACAGGAAGACATTCTTTTATTTTTTAAAGAAAAAGCAAATTCTTACTGACCAAGCTTAAGGCTTATATAACAGGGGTTTAAAAGTGTGGGTTAAAGCTATGATAAGCCAGATTATCATGAGAAGACAGTTAACAAAGAAAAAGCCGAGGGACAAAAAGGAAAAAACAGTTCGGTTCCCTTGAGGATTTCAGACACTACAAACATTTTCTTAGTTGTTTTTCTGAATGCTTCCCCATTGAAACTGACTGCTTGTCAGTTAGCACCCTCATTTTTTTGAGATTTGATAGGTTTGGAGTGGCTCAGAAATTCTGAGACAAAAATAGAACATTAAACATTAAACTGAAAAGGCTGCTACCAAAATTAATATCCTTAATGGGGAAGACACTTGAAATTAGCACCTAGGTGATTCTGAGATCGAGTGTGTAATAATTACCCATGTACTCGTTAAACATGCAGATTTCAAGACCCCACCTCCAAATGCATTAGTCCTGGGATAGGGCCTGAGTCAAGATGCATTTTAGGTGATGCGAGATCACGCTGAGAAATGAGAAACACCGGTCAATGGGATTACTGATTTTTACTCACAGGTGGGGAGGAAACACGTGCAGGCTTAGAACAACAATTTTAATGTGCTTTTGATGGGCTGAATTTGTCACACTATAAAAAACCCAGCTGAGCTCTTGGACTAGCAATAAGAACTGTGGAAGAAGGACACAAGAACCCATGTTTACGGAGAGATGAACATAAGACTCATGCCATTCGGTTCAGCTGAGTGTACACAGTTCCATTACAGGAGATTTCCTTACCTATAAATGATGATTTCTTTGGGGGAACAGGCTGGAATTGATCCAGATCATGGCAGTCTAGAATAGGGGTTAAAAGTTAAGGGGTTGGGAGTGGAGAGGGAGAATAGGGAGTGACTGTTTAATGGGCATAGAGTCTCCTCTGAGGGTGATGAAAATGTTTTGGGAATAGAGGTGATGGTTGCACACGATTGTGAATGTACTTCATGCCACTGAATTATACACTTTAAAATGGTTAATTTTATGTTATGTGAACTTCACCTCAATTAAAAAAAAGACTGGTGTTGGCTGCCTCGATGGAAATTTTTGCCACACTACTTACTGTCTTTTATTTTATTTTATTTTTATTTTTGAGACAGTATCACACTCTGTTGCCCAGGCTGGCGTGCAGTGGTGCAATCATAGCTCACTGCAGCCTTGACTTCCGGAGCTCAAGTAATGCTCCCACCTCAGCCTCCTGAGTAGCTGGGACTACAGGCACGCGCCATCATGCTTGACTAATTTTTAGGGTATTTTTTTTTTGTAGAGATAGGGTTTTGCCATGTTGCCCAGGCTGGTCTCGAACTCCTGGGCTCAAGTGATCCTCTCGCCTTGGCCAAAGTGCTGGGATTACAGGCATGAGCTACTGCGCCTGGCCTCCACTTACTGTCTTAATGGGTAAGTCTTATGGGCAAATTCTTAGCCTCTCTGGCTTCAGTTTTCTCATCTGTAAAATGTGCTTAATAAAAATGGTACCTCACAGAGGTGCTAAACAGGATTAAACATGACATGTGCTCAGCTGGAATACAGAAGTGGTCACAAAGTATTCGTTATTATTATTGGAGCTGTTACTGAAAGCTGTGAAGTCTAAAAATCTTTAAATAAAAATCAGATTTGAGTCCCTACCTGAACTAGATTTCTTTTCCTTACCAACAGTATTTCCTTGGACTCTTGAGACAAAATAGTAATAATAACAACCACACAACAAGAGCAAAATATGTTTCATTTCAATATCCCTTTATAGTTGTAAAATGGCTACACCCATCTTATTTGACCCAGTATGCACCAAATATTTTTGATCACAGGGAACAGTCTTACCACACATACGCCCTCTCAGCACTGAGCCTGGTCTGCAGAAGGGGGAAGCCTTTTTTGTTTCTAATGAATTGCTGTCAGCTATAAGTATTTCTGATGCAAGCTGAAAGGAATACATGGGGTCTTTACTGAGAGTCCTTTTCAGTTTATTTGTGATAGTTTCCAATGTCTGAAGGAGTCGTTGCTGATTTTCCCATTCAAGGGTATCATTTCTTTCATCGGGTAATGGCACACTAGCTGAGATAAAAACAAAGCAAAATAAAACATAACACAAACACATGGTGTTTCAGAAAGTCATTTGTAGTTAATTTTTTTACCAAATAGAAATGGCATATTTAAAATCTTTTAGTACTAATAACTGGTCTATAGAAAAAAAATAAAAATCAGGAAAAATTAATTCAAAGTAAATTTAACCACTATTCACTGAACAACTAAGTAAATACATGGATAAGACTAAGAACCATACAATTTGTTTCAATCCTTCTCTCATTGCTAAATCTATATCACCTTTTTTGGGAGTTCTTTATTATAACATAATAAATTCTTGTAAATTCTTGCATTTTAAAAGTATGCCTTAATCATGCCAAGATGAGAATGAAGTAGGGTGCTTATCGCCGTGAGACCTACAAAAGACACCTATGATATTGACAGCAAAAGATGGCAAGACTTAGTTAACTGTGCTTTCCCTAATTCTCAATTCCAGAGTCATTTCCTAATAATGATAACAAATGGAAGATTTGAGAAGCAAGTTTCCAACCAAGAATTTTCCATAATATTACTTTTTCAGACAGTTTATCCTTACCTGTGATATTAAAAATTAACTTAATTTTATAGTCAGATAATGGGGCACTTCTTTTAATCCGTGAAGACCTGGCATTGCCAATGCTTGTTGGTGTTTCTTGCATAGTGTCCAAGAAGTCATCGTAAGAGTAATCCAGCCTATTAGCTGCACCCCAGCCACCTGGTCCTGGAGAGTTGGGGCAGAGATACAAATGATCACACAGTTGCTTTTTCATCAGCATTTAGGTCCTAATGTTAAGCCACAAGTGAAATTACACTTGACTATTTCCTCAAATGCTCATAATATACTCCATACAGGGTTTGGTCTACAATGTTACATACATTGTAATTTCTGGTCACTTCATATTTAATATAGATTACCAATGAAATACACTAAAAGAAGAAAGAAAAATCTCTATGGAGCTACCAGGGCATTTATACCACTCTATCTTTGAGTTAATAGTTAATTATTTTAGCTTTAGAGGTAAATTTTAGAGGTAAATAAGAGCTGGGTGCAAAATTCTAATCAGTTTCTACTTCTTTGCAAGGCTTTTCCCAAATCCTTTTTTTCTGTTTCTAAAAGTGACCTTATAAACTATTAATATACATAAACAGATCTCCTCTTGTGAAGATAACTCAAGATGCTTTCATCATATTTTAAAGGTAAGGGTAGTTTACAAAGGCAGCACATAAGTTAAATGACTCTATGATACAACCACACTGGCGGCAACAAGGGTACGTGGAATTCTCTAGATACCCTTGATATCACTGTGATTAACTTCATGGGTTCAGATTGTGGCTTCTTGATGTATGCTGCTGTATAATCTTAGTCAAGTTACTTTCATCTTTCTGAGCCTCAGTTTCTTCATTTATAAATTGAGATGATTCTTACCTGATAGATTTGTCTTTGGATTAAATGAGACAAAATATATAAGCTGTCAAACTCAGTATTTGACTTATTATAAAACCATATTAATATTATTCTGGCCATACTATTGTTATGTACTTTAGACAATAATTTATATTTATATAGGCCTCTCCACTTAAGTAAATTGTTTTCTGAACTTTTTGACTTTATTTATGCTTTTGGCTATTAAAATTAACTGGGATTAATATTATCTTTTTACTTAAGCCTTTTCTCCACAAGCATTAGGTAGGTATTAAGAAAAAAATGAGCAAAGAGAAAAGTATTAAAAATGACTATAATTCTAGAAACCACATAGAAATAATCACCACGAACATTTTAGGCAAGCTTTTTTCCCACTATGAATGTATAAATATACACACGGATATACATTTATGCATACATACATACATATACACACACACAAACCTGGAATAAAAACAACCCACTTTTAACAAAACAAGATTATACTATGTATGTATTATTTAGTAATCTTTTTCAAATTTTATGGCATTTCTATGTGAAATGGTGGCATAATACTCTCTTGTATGGTACAACACAAACCTGCAGTTTCTATTTTTAGACTTTTAGGTTATTTCAAATTTTTAGGACATCCTTAGACATACAGTATTTAATCAAATCTAAGATACCATTGGTTAGAAGATACATCCCAATTTCAGGTCTAAAGGAAAAATATGCATCTCAAAATTTATGAAATGTGGTACATATTTGCACAATGGCATGATTTTTACCTTGAGAAATATTCTTAGAAATGAAATTTCTGGGTCTAAGTGCATGGGCATTTAAAATCCTTTAGATACATATTGTCAAATGCCCTCTTAATTTCTCCTTTCTACACAACGTATGAATATGATTTTTTTCCCCATAGTTCTTGTTTGTTAATCTGACAGATCAAAAATTGCATTTCACTTTATTTATTTTATTTTAAGATGGAGTTTTGCTCTTTTTGCCCAGGCTAGAGTACAATGGCATAATCTCGGCTCACTGCAACTTCCACCTTCCAGGTTCAAGTGATTCTCCTGCCTCAGCCTCTCGAGTAGCTGGGATTACAAGCACGTGCCACCACGCTCAGCTAATTTTGTGTATTTAGTAGAGATGGGTTTCACCAGGTTGACCAAGTTGGTCTCTAACTCCTGACCTCAGGTGATTTGCCCACCTCAGCCTCCCAACGTGCTGGGATTACAGGCGTGAGCCACCTTGCCTGGCCTAGTTTTAATTTTGATTACATGATTATTATGAAGTCAAGTCAATTTTATTATATTTATTGGTTGTTTATTTTTCATACATTATGACCTGCCAAGGCATGGTTATAAATGTTATACCGATCTTGTGACTACTGGGAATACATTTAGGGAGGAATGCTTGTTTTTTAGTATCACAGGATCATGTGTGCCACCTGCCCATGCCTTTCTCTCAAGAACTGCCATTTGGACCCTTATTAGATGACAAATATTGCTCATCTCATAGACTTGTGATGACAACTGACTCTAGGTGTAATCTTGTGCCCCCACAACCTACCCCAACAATCTGGGAGGGGAAACCTGGATGGTGTTTAACAGAAGAGGGTTGATTATTCTAGATATGTTACTGACAATGCCACCTTACTTTTTCCTATCTAAAACTTAATTTCCAAAATGTTCACTAAAGTGTTGTACATAGTAGTAAACAACTGAAAATAACCCAAAATCTACCAATGGGAACTATTTCTATAAATTATGGTAAACTGATCAATGGGATAATATGTGGCTATTCAAACTGTATTGAAGTAGGATATTTAGTGAATAAAAATGTCCTCAATACAATGTTAATTAAGAATTTGTGTTCAAAATAGTGTCAGTGTATATACAATAAACAGTTATATATATGTAGTAATATGTATATATCATAGTATGGTATGTATACAGTATATATAGTATGGTGTATATATATGTAGATCTACATATATAGTTATAAATATATACATGTATTAACAGGCTTTTTCTGGGGTTGTGGATTATCTTCATTTCATTTTTTGTTTTTAAGCATTTTAAAAATTGTCTAATAAACATATATGCACAAATGATATTTAAAAGTATTTAAAAATCGAAAGCAACAGTCAACATCACTCTTAATGCTAAATCACCAAAAATATTACAAACATGATTAGTATTTGAAATGGAAAAGATGTCTGCTGTAATGCAAATTAATACTTACCATCTCATAACCTTCTAAGCACATGACTTGTACTTGTTCATTCAATGCTTAAAATGGTCACATGAGGTGAGTACTCTTATATAGGTGAGGAAACTGAGGCACAGAGTGTGTTGATAGCTTGCTCAAGATCACACAGCTAGTAGGTAGTGAGGCCAGGATTTTGACTTAAATAGTTGGTTGTAGAGTCCGCGTATTTAACCACTACACTACTTTGATAACACTATTATTATTATTATCTTATTTTTTTTTTTTTGATACCTAGTCTCACTTTGTTGCCCAAGCTGGAGTGGAGTGGCATAATCACAGCTCACTGCAGCCTCGAACTCCTGGGCTCAAGGGATCCTCCCACCTCATCCCCATAATTAGCTGAGACTACAGGTGTGTGCCACCATGCCTGGCAAAAAATAATCTTAATAAAAATGTTCAGAGTAAACATAGTAACATATGTTTCTCACAGTAAACATAGAGAAAACATCACAATTCCACTTAAAGATATATTAGACTTGAATAAATGAAATCTTAACATATTTTTGGTGAGGAATCTGAATATTTTACATGTGTAACTATTTTATGTTAATGACTTCATTGTAACTTACATTGAATGCCATATCAAAGTTGCTGTTAGGACTTTATTACTATTCTCTTTTAGGATACACCAACATTTGAATTTTACCAGCATACGTGACTTGGTTTTCTTAGTTTTTGTCATTTTTAAGATCCTGGTAAATAATTTTAAATAATTTATTTGTTACTAAAATTTGATATATCCTTAGTGATCATTCAGCACATTATCAAATTATTTAGCCAACTTAAAATACTTGATGAATACATTAACAAAAGTTAACATTTCTAGTTTGCCTCACTTTTCTGGAATTATTCTTATTTTGCAGATTAGTCTTGCCAACTACCGATGCCACAGAATTTAATTACCAATTGCAAAGCCATTTTCATAGTCATAATTATATTCTAGGCAATATTTTTTGGTCAGGTTCTCCTCCAGTCTGCAATCAATGTCCTCTGCATCACTACAAAATGATGGGACCTGCAAGTAAAAAATGAAGAGGATAAAGTGTAAATCACTTTCCTGCATGCCTTGGATAAAAACTTTGCTCCCCCGGCCTTCACATCTCTATCAGCAGGAGGGAAGGGAGGGCCCCAGAGCTCACATTCCTCAAAGGGATTCTGACCCTCCTCCCCTGCGGCCTCTGTCTGTTGGTCACCAGGATTAGTTTCACACCTTTTATCTCTGTTTATGTCACTCACCATGAGAAACCCAGGGCTCCTGGGATATCTCCTGGCTCTAAATCTTCATCCTATATGGCTCCTTGGAACCCTTTCTCTGACCCCATCTTCCACTCCTCTTCCCCAATCCCCCAAGCCTTCCTCTATGCCCTCTGAAGCTCAGTCAGTAATTAGCAAATCTGTTAGTTTCTACCTCTTCTCTTTATGTTCTCTTCACCTTTGCCCTAAAACCTTTCCAATTTTCTGGAACTTTTCCCAGAAAATATTCTAGAAATACTAGAAATTCCAGAATCCTGGAATTGGTGGCAGGACTGGAAGTGGAGGAAGGTCCTTCTCACTATTTATTGCTGTTTCCAGATCACACTCCCTCACATCTCCTTGAAGGCTCACAGTTCTGAAGCTCATGCCATCAACTCTACCATTCATTGACCCTTCTGGTGACAGTCACCTGCAGCATTTACCCTCTGTGTCACTCCCTCATTCCAAGAACATTTGGTAACTGTCCTGTTATAGTTCTTGGTGATTTCTATAGACACCTAGCAAATCCTTCCATCTCCTTGGATTCTCAGTTCCTTTCCCTCTTCTTTCTTGTATTATAGCTTTACTCTGTCACTCTCTCCCGTAGTCATACCCTCAGACCTTGTCATTGTCAGAAACTGCACCTTCTCCTCTTCTCAGGAATCCAACAGTTCCTTGACTTCATCAGAATGTATAATTCATTGACCCTAGTGCCTCTCCTTTAGCCCCTCATGTCTTCATGTCTTTGTTTACTCATCTAAAATTCCATAGTCCATCACCATGGACCGTCTCCTCCCTTGCAAGCCTCTTCCTCAATTTGTTTGTCTGGACAACACTTACCCTTGGTTAAATTAATCATTCTGCTTTCCCACACCTGTACTACATGGTCAACTAAGGCTTGAGAAAAAATGTGACCTTGCTGGATGCCAATCTTACCACAATTCTTTAGCATACTTATTCATCCTTTCTTAGAAAATTATTTTACACCACCTTCTCTCTTCTTAAGCCTCCAACAACTCCTTCCCATTCTTACTCTCAGATGATCATCTTTTTACGCTGATCAAAATTGAACTCAGAAAAGAGACTTCGTTCACACACTTCCATCCTCATGAGTACCCAGTACCTAGACCTATGCCCTTTTACACTCTGCCTCCTTGACTCTTCTTTTTATCCCACAATCTACCTCCAATGTATCAGCAAGTCCTACTGAATCTACTTTCAGAAGATATAAAAAAATCCATTAACTTCTCACCACCTCCAGTGCCGCCCAAGCCACCATCATCTCTTGCTTTCCTTTCCTATGTGGTTTTTTTACTCTCTTCTCTTACCTTCTGCTTCTCCTAGAGCCCAAAGTCATCAGTAAGTTGTTCCCTCAGATGGCTTTCCATCTCAATTAGAGTAAAAGGCAAAGATTTACAGTGACTTTCGAGGCTCTCCACAGTCTGATTTCTCTTCTTACTCCCATCTCCTCTTCCACATGTGATTTCTTTGACCATGTATCACTCAGCCCTTCATCCTCTCTACCTTTGCCACTCTGACGTCTTTACGGTGGTTCAAACTCCGAAACACACTCCTGCCTCTGGGCCTTTGCACTTGCTGCTCCCTCTGCCTGGAACGCTTTTCCCCTAGATATGCTCATGGCTCACTGCCTCACTCCTTCACGCCTCTTCTCAAATAGGAACCTAGCGAGGCTTTACCATCTTCTGTTTTATTTTATTCCATAGCATACGCCATCTGACATGCTACATATTTTCCTTGTAATTTGTTTATTGTTGGTGTATTTATCAACATGTAAATTCTGTGAGCACAGGGAGTTTTGCCTGTTTATTCAGATCTAAATCCCTAGTGTCTACAATAGGATATACTTACTAAATATTTATTAAATGAACAAATAAGCATTTAATAGTACATTCTAATCCCTTATAGCATCTTTAACCTGCTACAATTTAGTGTCTGGTAGACACTGAGTCTAACACACACAAAAATATTTAATATTTTAAAGATTTCTTTACCACTTTGGGGTGGAGTATAATTAGCGTGAGCATATTGTTGCCTTTCAAGTATAGGTCTATAGTAACAGAGGCCTAATGGGTGTAATATTTTCTTGGTTTGCTAGCAACAGTGACAACATTATTTCTCTTTTTGGAATTTGGTTTTATTGAATAGATTTAAATATAACGTTTTTAATAAGTGTTTTTGAATGGACATTCGTTAATATGTTAGGTGTATTGTATGCTTGGCATACAGTAAGCAGCACAATAAAATGTTAGCAAATAAATAAAGTGCTACCCAGTCTACAAGGCATATAAATATGTATCTAGTATGGTTCCTGCCTTGAAGATGTTCAATACAGTTATATATATTGCTCTGCTTTCTTTTCTTTTTGCTTTTCTTTCTTTCTTCTTTTTTTTTGGGGGGCGGTGGGGGAGGCAGTCTTGCTCTGTTGCCCAGGCTGGAGTACATGGCACGATCTGGCTCACTGCAACCTCCACCTCCCAGGTTCAAGTGATTCTCCTGCCTCAGCCTCCTGAGTAGCCGGGATTACAGGCACACATCACCACACCTGGCTAGTTTTTTTTTGTATTTTTAGTAGAGATGGGGTTTCACCATATTGGCCAGGCTGGTCTCGAACTCCTGACCTCGTGATCCACTCACCTCGGCCTCCCAAAGTGCTGGGATTACAGGCATGAGCCACTGCACCTGGTCTGTTTTTTAATAATTGTTGTAAGAGTCCTTTCTAAACAAAAATGCATCTTTTAAATCTTTTAAATGTATAATTATCTTTTAAGTGTCCAATTATCTTCTTATCATAAACAAAATACCACCTACTATGTTAGGCATTTTTGTCAGACTTTAAATAATAAAGACATTCTCAAACCATCCAGATCTTAAGCTTCTCTGACTTCCTAAGGATGTTTTAAAAGATTCAAAAATGTTTTAATGCATATTTACTTCTAAGTCATTCTAGAAGTTCAAAATCTATGAATAATTTTAAATATTAGGTACATGTCTGGATCACAAAGAAGAGGGAAATAGGATGAGAAATTGCAGTTGTAAATGACTCAGAAAGGCTATGAAAGCCTTAATAACGTCCTTTATAAAAGGACAATCAATGACTATTATTGATGTACCATTTTTCCCAAGGTAGTCTCAAATGCTTCAGAAAACTTCTTCATCAGATCTGTGTCATCACAACGTGCTGCTTTGTAGAACATCTCAAAGGACTTGAACCCGTGGTTTGCAAAACGTTTTTCTAGAAAATGTTGGACAAAACAGCTTCAGTTGGTTAGTGTTTTTAAAACAAAGATTTGACTTTCTATGAAATAATTGAAACTTAATGTTTTGATTCTAACATAATTTGTGGGATTGTTATAAAAACAAGAGATGGCAGTTAAGGAGAGTTTCTAGGCATTAACTGATCATAATAAACCATGCACCAAGCAGCACTGGACTCGGTTATCCAGTGAAGAGTTTGCTTTTGATATATTATTCTTTATCTTCTACTCATACAAAAAAGTGAGTATTTAAGGGAAGAAGATACATAAAAATTGTTTTCATTCTATTCCTGGGAATTTTTGAAAAATCCTGGCTGGCTCAAAGTTATTATATCTTATATAGCATACATATTATATTTTCAAAAATTAGGTATTGAAACATTTCTAAATATTACTTTTCTGCAATCATATTCCTTGAAAGTGTAATTGTCATAAAGATAAATTTCTCTCTGGATCAAAAGCTTGCACGGTAGACTTTGCAAAATGCCGCTGAAGAATTCAGGGACAGTGTCCTACTAGCATTCCACCGTCTCAATCTATGAAAGAAGTGAATGGTATTGTTTCTATTTACTACTGCAGTCTGGAGGGAAAATAGCTCTGTTAAGTGGGTTTCATATTTTTTTCCAAGACACTGGTATTTAAATTCCATCTATGGTAGTGAATCAAAGATGCACTTCAGAGAATATTTATTTCCACTAAATGAATGCATTAGGTTATTTTTATAATAATGTTTATTTAATATTATAGAATGGTTTAAAATCTAAGTCAAATATGAAGAGACTGTGATTGACGTATTTTATTCCATTACATATGTTAGATTTTATTTTAAAGTCAGCTCTTCTGCAGACTATAAGAATTTTTTCTCTATTTTTTTGTGCAACAGGGTCTCATTCTGTTTTAGGCATTAACTGATCATAATAAAACATGTACCAAGCAGCACTGGACTCAGTTATCCAGTGAAGAGTTTGCTTTTGATATATTATTCTTTATCTTCCATTCACAGCTGAAGTACAGTGACGTGAATCAAAGTTCACTGCAGCCTCCTTGAACTCCAGGGCTCAAGCGATTTTCCCACCTCAGCCTCCTGAATAGCTGGGACCACAGGAGCGCACCACCATGCCCCACCAATTTTTTTTTTTTTTTTGGTAGAAATGGTAGTCTGGTCTTGAACTCTTGGGCTCAAGTGATCCACCCACCTCAGCCTTCCAAAGTGCTGGGATTACAGGTATAAGTCACCATGCCTGGCCACTATGAAACTTGAAATTCATGTTTACAGGTTCAGAATTACACATTGTCAAGTCTCTAGATATTTCTAATAAATAACGAGAAGGCTCAGATGGTTCTGCCTTAAACTGAATCTTGTCCTACAGCAATACAATTTATAACAAGACTCTAGTGGCTAATATTTTAAATCCATGAAAGAGTAATTCTCTTATTCACAAACATTTCAAATTCATAGCACCATTTTTCCCTAATTCCTATTGTAAGGCAATTTTCCTCTTTAACATTTAGAAATGTATACACATTCACACACATTAAAGAAGTCTAGAATAAAATTAAAACTTACTGGCACAGTCTGGCCATTCAGTGGTATATGTTGGTTTCCAGACACCATCTTCATAAGCACAATAATACTTGTCAGTAGACCCTTCTGTAAAATCATAGCCCTCCAAGCAAGTTAATGTACAGTTGACTCCAGTACTATCTTGAGCACATATAAAATCCCCATTTATAGGTGTGAATGGAATTTCACAGGGAGAACCTGTGTAAAAAAAAAATTGTATTATTCATATATAGTGGTACAAGAAGCATAAATTAAATTCCAGGAACTTAAGTGGAATTCTGAAAAGGACTCCTTCTGTCTACTACTATTTCTAGAAAAGCTTTTACCATATGTCTTTAGTGCAAGAGAAGGACAACACTTGCTTTTTAGTGCTGACATACATTGAAAAGCTGTACCTATGTGTAATTAGAGGTTGTGCATAGTTTTATAAAAAGGTAAAGTACTTCTGACTTGGGGTTATTATTAGTAGTAGTAGTAGTAGTAGTAGTAGTAGTAGTAGTAGTATTTTGAGACAGAGTCTTGCTCTGTCGCCCAGGCTGGAGTGCAGTGGTGCTATCTCGACTCACTGCAGCCTCCACCTCCCGGGTTCAAGCAATTCTTATGCCTCGGCCTCCTGAGTAGCTGGGACCACAGTCACACGCCACCATGCCTGGCTAATTTTTTTATTTTTAGTAGAGACAGGGTTTTACTAATGTTGGCCAGGCTGGTCTCAAACTCCTGATCTCAAGTGATCCACCCGCCTCAGCCTCCCAAAGCACTGGGATTACAACAGGCGTGAGTCACCATGCCCTGCCCTTATTTTTGACATTCCTTTAATAAAAGCAAAAACTGGGTAACATTATGCAGCAAATATATTTTCAGAATCTGTCTTCTCAAACATTTAAAATAGGATTATGTCAATAATACATTGTAACCTTAGAGAAAATGTTAACGAAATGTTAACTAAAGACTATTCTGGGAGAAAATATTTTTATCTATCACAAGGTCAAGGAATGACAATGGAAAACCTAAATAAAACCTGTCGGTCTTCCAATTGTAAAAATCTAATGCTCATAGCCTATTTTCTTTCATAAAACAGAGCACTATAGCAATGACATGTATCAAATGTCAACTAGAATTCTGGGGGCTTACGAAGACAATACCTTTTATGACAATATGGATATCACATGTCCTGTTATTGCCTGAGGGGTCAGTAGCTGTGTACTGTACTATAGTCTCCCCTTGAGGGAAAAGGTCTCCTTGTGTATGACTTCTGGTAATGACCAATTCAGCCCCTGGAAAGGAAAGAAGGCAGTCAATTTTTGGATTGTATTCACACTATTTTACTTTATTTATTTTTTTTTTGAAACAGTCTTACTCTGTTGTCCAGGTTGGAGTGCAATGGCATGACCTCAGCTTACTGCAACCTCCACCTCCCGGGCTCAAGCAATTCTCCTGCCTCGGTCTCCCAAGAAGATGGGATTATAGGCACTCGCCACCATGCCCAGCTAATTTTTGTATTTTTAGTAGAGACGGGGTTTCACCATGTTGGCCATGTTGGTCTTGAACTCCTGACCTCAGGTTATCTGCCCACCTTGGCCTCCCAAAGTCCTGGGATTACAGATGTGAGTCACCGTGCCCAGCCTGAGTCACTTTATTAGTCTCTTATTTGATTTGAAGTTTCATGTCCTACTTATGCAAATCAGTTGGGCATTCCGTGTTGCTTTGCCCACTAGTAGAAAATAAGAGATTTAATATTTATACGGTAACACAGAAATAGTAGATTCAACAACCCCATTAATTTAAGGCTTTCTTTGATAAACAACTGATTTTCTCAAAGTCCTTTAAGATGTCCTACAAAGCAACTAGGCAATGGGTAAGTCTGCTACAACATTGGGATTTTAATTAAGAAATTACTTAATTTGCATTTTTTGTTGTTCTCTGGGTTTTACTGAAACCTTTAAAATAAACTTCAGTTGTATTTGCTTAGTTGTTTTCTACTTTCTTATGATTTTTTATAATTTTATTTGTCAAGTATTTAAGAACTGAGTCTGAATATATAGATCTACAGTAGAGATGCTGATAAAATGCATGGTTTCTGCCTCTAGAACAACATAAGCTTGGAGACTCAAGAAATTCATTAGAACCCTGCTAGATACAACACCTAGTGCAGGTTCAACAAATGCCCATGGAATACTGAATTAGGAAAACCCTCATGGATAGGAAAGTTTAATAACGTTAACTTATAATTATCCTAGCATTAAAACATGTTAACTTATATAATTATTGATTCTCCTTAGACAGTTTTTATTTGCCTTTTCTCTTTTATCCTATTAAAAAGCTTTTCAAAATAAAAAAGAATTCAGTGCTACTATGCTGACGACAAAGTCCTTGTCACCTCACCTGAGTTGTCTGAGAATTGAGGCTCATCCCAGCTTGCAGCATACACCTTCTCTGAGACCTGGATGGGAGGTGGAGATCTGCACCAGTCTATGACAGGTGGTTCTACATCTAAAGAACGTGAAATCAAAGTTACAATTGATATTCATAAATGATGAGGAGGTTTTCAAAAGAGAACTGAAGTCAGTTTGTGCTGGCAGACAGCCTTGAGCTTGTAAGAAACAAGGCTGACCCTGTGGCTCCTTTGATGTCTTTTCCCTGCTCGCCAACATCAAAGGAAAGAGCTGCTTTTGCTATACTGCCCCCTATCTGTTGAAGAAAAAAATGCCACCTTCCTAAAATTATCTTGGGCACAAGCGTGTGAAAGGCAATTCCTGACGTGGTGGGCATTTAAATTGTGAGTTCTGTCCACAGTCATTGAGCTGACCCAACTGGAAGGGAAGAGAACCATTCCAGACAAGCTGAAGGAATGAAATGACCACATCTGTCATTCCCATGATGTTCCTCTTATCTGAAGGGTCAAGACAAGGGCTAATAGATGGCTAAATGGAAGGACCATGGGCCAGAGATCCGAGTCATGTTGCAAAATAAGCATGATGTCAGTGTGGGTGGGCTACTGCTGGGAGGCCAGGAGATTATTTCCAGAGGTGGAACATTGGAGCTAAAGATTTCTAAGGTTGGCAAATTCTAGGTGAAGACAAAGAACAAAGTGGGAACCTGGAAGTGGGGAAAGGAGACAGAGGATGAAAACCATGGTAGAAGTTAAAGCACTGGGAGTCTGTGTTGTTGAGCACTGGAACCCAGGCTGAAGGGTGGATGTGAGGTGGGGTGAGTGAGCCAGGTTTCAAAGCCATGATTGAATGTGGTGGAGTTTTTGGGATGTCAATAAAGAACAATAAAGTGGGTGTATAATCTAGGCAAGACCATTGAGGACATAGGCATGGGCAAAGATTTTATGACAAAAACATCAAAACCAATTGCAACAAAAGCAAAAATTGACAAATGGGATCTAATTAAACCAAAGAGCTTCTGCACAGCAAAATAAACTATTATCAGACTGAACAGACAACCTACAGAATGGGAGAACATTTTTGCAATCTATCCATCTGATGAATATCTAACATCCAGAATCTATAAGGAACTTACATTTACAAGAAAAAAACAACCCCCATTAAAAAGTGGGCAAAGGGCATGAACAGACACTTTTTAAAAAAAGACATTTATGTAGCCAACAAACATATGAAAAAAAGCTCAACATCACTGATCAATAGAGAAATGCAAATCAAAACCACACTGAGATACCATCTCACGTCAGTTGGAATGGCAATTATTAAACAGTCAAGAAACAACAGATGCTAACAAGGCTGTGGAGAAATAAGAACGCTTGTACACTGTTGGTAGGAATGTAAATTAGTTCAACCATTGTGGATGACAGTGTGGTGACTCCTCAAAGACCTAGAACAAGAAATACCATTTGAACCAGCAATCCCATTACTGGGTATATACCCAAAGGAATATAAATCCTTTTATTACAAAGATACATGCATGTGTATGTTCATTACAGCACTACTCACAATAGCAAAGACATGGAATCAACCCAAATGCCCTCCAATGATAAACTGGATAAAGAAATTGTGGTACATACACACCATGGAATACTATGCAGTCATAAAAAGGAACAAGATCAGGTCCTTTGCAGAGACATGGATGGAGTTGGAAGCCATTATCCTCAGCAAACTAACGCAGGAAGAAAACCAAACACCGTATGTTCTCACTTATAAGTGGGAGTTCAACAATGAGAACACTTGGACACAGGGAGGGGAACAACACACACTGGGGCCTTTCAGGGGTTGGAGGAGAAGGGGAGCATCAGGATAAACAGTTAATGCATGCGGGGCTCAATACCTAGGTGATGGGTTGATAGGTACAGCAAACCAACATGGCACACATTTACCTATGTAACAAACTTGCACATCCTGCACTTGTATCCTGACTTAAAATTAAATTAAATTTAAAAGGAGGGTGTATAGGAAATAATTTTATTTTAATTTAATTATGCATTTTATACATCTGAAATGTTCTTATTACATGTCTTTGAGGTTTGAGGGAGATAGCAAAAACATCATTTTTCTAATTTTGTAGGTGAGGAATGTTAGATGAGGCAAACTTAAGAAACTTGCTTGAGGTCAGTAAGCTATTAAATTGTAGCCACAAGCATTAAGACCAAGTATTCCTATCCAAGAAACATGCAAATACATACTCTGAAATTAACTGAGCTGCACCTGTGAGAATATATGGATTCCCATTTTCAGCTAAGTCTCGTGAACATATGTTCAATTTTTGTCTTTTCCTCATGTTTGTTATTTCATTAGTGCAGACCTTAGGTTTATTACTTTACTACACTGTACACTCTGTAGACCAGTGATGCAGTCCCTTTTGTTCAGATCTCCACTAGATAGCACAGCATCTGTTCTATAACAGGTGCTCAAAACAAGTTGCTGAATAAAGGATAAAGCAACGCTCATAGCAGGTCAGTGTACTTTGAGAATGCTGAATCAAGTCAATTCATAGCTAAATTTACAAATCCGGTAGTATTTACTATTTTGCCAAAAGAAATGACAATTGAATATTCAAAGATTTTCTGAGCATATCTGATTTTATTCAGATGTTTTAAAGTTAAATCACAGGTGCAAGAGGGCAGTAAGGCTCGGTCAATCACTTTCAAAAGAATTGGAGGTGCCAGCAGATGTACTGTCTCCAAAGGAGAGGGACAGCCCACTTCAAAGCAAGTGAGACAGCACCCTGTGGCAGCCAAGGAGAAGCATTCCTGGCTTGCGTCTCATTTATCAGGGTGACACCAACACCCTGGAGAAAATAAGAAAAATGTCAGCTTTGGTGTATTTTCTTTCTCTCTCTGTCTCTGTCCCTTTCTGTCTGTTTCTGTCTGTCTGTCTCTCTCTCTTTCTCTCTCTCTCCCTCTCCCTCCCTATATCCCTCTCTGCTTCTGCTTCCATCTTCCCCTGCTTCATCTTCCTTCTCCTTCTTTCTCTTTCTCTCTCTCTCTCTCTTTTTTTTTTTTTTTAGATGGAGTCTCTCTCTGTCCCCCAGGCTGGAGAGCAGTGGCGTGATCTTGGCTTACTGCAACCTCCGTCTCCCGGATTCAAGCAATTCTCCTGCTTCATTCTCCCAAATAGCTGAGAATACAGTCATGTGTCACCACACCCAGCTGATTTTCGTACTTTTAGTAGAGACAGGGTTTCAACATGTTGGCCAGGCTGGTCTCGAATTCCTGACCTCAGGTGATTCATCTGCCTTGGCCTCCCAATGTCCTGTGATTACAGGTGTGAGCCACCACGCCTGGACCTTCTCTCTCTCTTTCTCTCTCTCTCTCTCTTTTTGAGATGGAGTTTTGCTCTTGTTGCCCAGGCTGGAGTGCAAGGGTGCGATCTTGGCTCACTGCAACCTCCGCCTCCTAAGTTTAAGCAATTCTCCTGCCTCAGTCTCCCAAGTAGCTGGGATTACAGTCATGTGCCACCACACCTGGCTAATTTTGTATTTTTAGTCGAGATGGGGTCTCTCCACATTGGTCAGGCTGGTCTGGAACTCCCCACCTCAGGTGATCTGCCTGCCTCGGCCTCCCAAAGTGCTGGTATTATAGGGTGAGCCACCACGCCCGGCCCTCTCTCTTTTATAATTTGAGAATTCAGTTAAAGTCTAGTAGCCACTCGAGTACACATTTCACATTTCACTATGTTGACTCTTCATTATGAAAAATTAAAACTTGGCAAACTTTTGACCACATTTCCAAGTCTAAAATCACTGTGTCAGATTTTTGAGAATCCAACATATTTTTCATGCAAATGGAAATGCTCATGTTTAAAACAACATGGAAAAAGGAATTTTTAAAAACTAAGCCTTGTGAAATAGTCGGATTTTTACTGGATTTCTTTCATCTACTTTTACCAAAACCTGTAATGTATAGGGTAAGGAACCAGTTTAATATATGTTAGTTATTTCAATAAGTTATGTAACATTTTTAAAACAAAATGAATTTAACATAATGAATTTTAAAATAAACATAAGAAAAATAGACCTGAGATAAATATTGCAAAATGTCGGTATGTTGTCATCTAGCTTTCACGCAGAGCTTAAAGTATGGCAGGCACTAGATCAAGTGGTTTATATATTATCACAAATTTAAAATCTTACAATGAGGTAATACATTCGTTAATTTTATTTTTGGATAAAGAAATTGAGGTATGGAGCAACAACCCTTGACTTCAAGTGGTGCAGATGAACACGAACCTAAGCAGCTTGGGTTCAGAGTCCATGCTCTTGCCCACTACAGATTGCTACGTAGCCTACCTCTCCATGTATTTTGTTTTGGTAATGCGCAGAAGACCAATTGAGAGATGATACAGTAAACCAGGCTCAAAAGATTTAAAAGGACTGATCCGCCATGGTGGCTCTGAGGATGGAGAGAATGGGACAAATTTCAGAGATATCAAGTAAGTGAAACCAACAGCACCTGATACCGTCTTGGATATTGGTGAGAGGGCAAGGAGTCAAGCATGACTTCCAATGTTTTTGCTTGGTAGCTAGGTGGTTGGTTGCATCCTTTTCTGAGCTAGGAAATAATTTGGGTGAGTTTGAAATGCCTGTGAGGCATTAATATGGGGAAAGTCCACGAGGCTTTCAGAGTCCAGTTTGGATTCCAGAAAAGAGATTTGAACTGGAAATAGGAATATGGGAGTTGTCAGTGAACAGAATCACTCAGGAAAACTGCAAAGAGAGAAAGAGAAGGCCAGGGCTGAAACCCTAGAGATGATCAACATTTGAGAATTAGCCTGAGGAAGAGAAACCCACAAAAGAAATAAAGAAGGTTAGATAAAAATAACGGAGGAAAAAAAAGAAGATGGGAAAGACTAACATCAAAGAAGCTAAGGGAAGGAAAAAGTTTTGATAAGAAGTGTGTGGTTAATAATGTACAATGTAGCTGAGTGTAGTGGCTCACACCTATAATCCCAGCATTTTGGGAGGCCAAGGTGAGAGGATCACTTGAGGCCAGGTGTTTGAGACCAGCCTGGGAACACAGTGAGACCTCGTCTCTACAAAAAAATAAAAAATAAAAAAATTAGCTGGGTGTGCTGGCACATGCCTGTAGTCCCAGCTATTTGGGAGGCTAAGGCAGGAGGATTGCTTGAGCCTAGGAGTTTGAGGCTGCAGTGAGCTATGATTGTGGCACAGCACTCACTCCAGCCTGGAGGACAGAGTGAGACCCTGTCGCTGAAAAAATTAAATAAATGTAAAATATGAGGAAAGATTATGTAAAATGAGGACCAAAAAGTACAGAGTAACACTAGAGATCACTGGTGACTTTGATGACAGTAGTTTACGCGAGTGAAGGGGACAGAAGCCAGACTTGGGTGACTCAGAATAAATGGCAATTAAGCAGAAAGACATGGCAAGCATTGGGAACTTTCATGTGGGTTCATATGGGAAGAAATCAAAAAGAAGCGGTGATAGTTAAAGGGTATGTAGGTTTCAAACAGGGAGTGGTTTGAGCAAGTTTCAATGCCAGTTGGAAGAATCAGTGACAAGGGAGTTGTTGATCATAAAGGAGAAGTGGTCTCTGGGGTTCTGGATTGCTTTCACAAAACTGCCCAATGATTCGATGAAAACTTACTGTATTAGTCTGTTCTCATGCTGCTAACAAAGACATACCTGAGACTGGGTAATTTATCAAGGAAAGAGGTTTAATAGACTCACAGTTCCACATGGCTGGGGAGGCCTCACAATCATGGCAGAAAGCAAAGAAGGAGCAAAGCCACGTCTTGCACGGTGGCAGGCAAGAGAGCATGTGCAGGGGAACTAGCCTTTATAAAGCCGTCAGATCTTGTGACAGTTATTCACTATCATGAGGACAGCATGGGAAAGACCCACTTCTATGATTCAATTACCTCCCACTGGGTCCTTCCTATGGCACATGGGAATTATGGGAGACACAATTCAAGATAACACTTGGATGGGGAAACAATCAAACTATATCACTTACCAATAACCTTGATATGGAAAACGCAGCTGGCTTGGTTGCCGGATAGGTCAGTTGCTGTGTATACGATAGCAACATCTCCAATTGGGAAAAGGTAAGGTGGGGTGAAAGCTGGATGAACGTGGATTGACACCTTTTGGAGATACATAAATATTTTGAAAGTTAACGTCAAAAGTGCGTTTATTGTTTTTTGATTTATATATTATTAGTAATGTTAACAATGATACAATATTTCACATAGAGGAAAGGAAAAAGGCACAGTTTTCTGGCATATTTCTTTCCAGATTATCCTATTTAAATGATTTATAGAATTGGCACACAACAAAATGTTGCTCCTTGTTTTTTAAATGTTTTTTATGTTTTAAAACGTCTTTTACATTCTTATGCAGTCTTTACAACTTAAAATGACTCTTAAATATTTCCATAATGTTCTGTAGAATAAACATATGATAATTTAAGAAAAATCTGTTGAAGGACATTAGTTTGACCCAAACATTTCCATTGTAAACAGTTTTGAACAGATAATTTAAAAATATTTTTCTTCTTATTTTCTTTATTGATGCATAATAGATATACATAGTTTCAAGGTACATGTGATAATTTCACACATTCATATAATTTATGAAGATCAATTACTATACTTCAGATATCCATCACCTTAAATATTTATCTTTTCTTTATGCTGGAATCATTAAAATTCTTCCCTTCTAGTTATTTTGGAATATACAATCGATTATTGCAAACTATAGTCAACCTACTGATCTAAGTAAGACGAGGTCTTATGACTTCTATCAAAACATATATTCATACCCATTAATTAACTTCTCTTATCTCTCCCTCCCCCACCTTTCTTGGCCTCTGATAACCACCAGTCTACTCTCTATCTTCATGAGATACACTTTATTTTTAGCTCTCACCTGAGATATTTGTCTTTCTGTGCTTGGCTTATTTTGCTTATTTATTATTTCCTTATAATAGAGTTCCATGAACAGAATTATTAAACCCAAATGTTAACATTTTATTAGTAGATAATATAAAATTTATTTCCAAATGAATGGTAACAATTCATATTCCCACTGTCAACCAGTGTCAAAGTTCCCCACATTTTCTGATCTATATTAAATATTATCAATTTTTGGTTAAGTCAAAAATTTGGCACCAGGTAATTGCTTTAATGAGCTGTTTCTTAATGCTATATGCTAAGATTATATTCTCAAGTTTGCATGTATTATATTTTTTACTTCCTGAATTGTATGTTTATTTTTTCATCCATTGAAAAATTAATAAATTTCTTCTTCACTGCAGTTTTAAAAATATTTCAAATAAGATTAGAAAGCTATTTATGAAATGATTTGATAAGCATCCAAATATATTTGATGGTAGCTTTTTAAATGATTTAAAGTATAATTTGGAAATATATTTTCTGTGTGGTATGATTTGAGAGTATAACTTTACATCTTAAAAATCACTCACTGTATTTTTAAATTATCACCCTTTATGATATTTTAAAATCCATCTTTATGGAATAGTACTGCATCATTCTGTTTATTTTTATTTTATTAAATGTTTTGATTTCTGATGGATCCAGTTGTTTCGTATTATTCTTTTTGATACTTTAATATAGGTATTCTTCTACTTTCCATTGCAGAATCACTTTTCATGCTCAAAAATATGCTGAATGCCTTTGAAATATATTTATTCGATAAATATTTTGCTTTTTAATTTTTTTCTTTCAGAAAAGCTAGAACGAAACATTTTGTTTTTTAATCTACAAATATGGCATGTATTTCCATTTGATTTCATTATTTCACCTGCCAATGTTTTATATTTTCCTTTAGGGTGCCATTCACCCTACTTTTTAAATAGAAACCTAAATATTTTATATTTTATCTTGCATTGTAAGTCGAATCCCTTTTTAACCTACTTAAGTAACCTATTACTATATATAGCATTACATATTTTATAGAATGGTGTGTGTGTGTGTGTGTGTGTGTGTGTGTGTGTGTGTGTGTGTGTGAATTTATCTGTATCTTGGTAGTCAAATAGTTATTTTGCTCCAGGAAATTAAATCAGGGATGCAAAGGGTAAGTTTAAAAGTCTCATTCAGGACACAGAGGAAAACTTAGAGTACAAATCATGGAATAGATAATAGACACACAGAACAGAAATTAGAGATATAACTTATGAATCATCAGTGTTCCTTAAGAAAACAGAATGAATGGAATAGGAAAAATGTTCTAAGATATAGAAGAAAACTTTGATTTGAAGAAAGCTATGACTCTGTACATAAAAAGGACTCTCGATGTACCAAAATTGATAAACAACAAGCATCACTTAAACAAATCTCAGATAACTTGATGTACAATTAAAAATTCTCACAGCATTCAGGAAGAAAAAAAGGAGATTTTCAGAAAAAAAGATAGTAATCAGCCTATATTACCTTTCTCTTAGTCATTAAATGCTCATCTGGAAATAAAAGATGTTCTTGTACATGCAAAGGCTTAGTAAATATACGACCTGTTTATACTTTTTCTGAAAGAATGGATTTTGAACCTACCTGAACCTACCAAATGAGGTGAATCACAACAAATCCCTCATAAGAGAGAAAAGTCATGATGTGAAGAACTGACAGCAAACGCCAAAACTATGTAAACACATACTCAGTATGAAAAATTGTGGTTGTTAGGGTTCATGTGTTATCAAAGGTTATGACTTTTTGAAGGGAATATGCATAATGTAAAAAACTATATTAATTAATCTATAATAAATTAGAATAAGAATCCCAGATTATATCAACAAACTATAAGCTGCTGAAAAGTTAAACTGATAATTTGCTCATTTTACTTGAGTGAAATGCAATAGACACTCATATTTTTGCCACAGATAATTGGGTAATGAAAGGCTTATGCATGTTTTTAAAACTTTATTTAAAAAGACTTATTTAAAAAGAATTATTGCTTCCACATATAATTGCAGCTACAGCCCTAAAGCTGAAGAGTATAAAGGGTAAGTAATCACATATTCTAAAGAGAGCTCCTAAGAATGGAAAAATTGCCAGGAGGCTGACACAGCAGTGGCTGGACTGGTCCTGTGCCCCTTGCACTTACCACCAGCCCACATTACAAGATATATCTATATCTATATCTATATCTATATCTATAGCTATATCTATAGCTATATCTATATCTATCTATATATCTATATATAGAATATAGAATACACACACACACACACAAACACACATATATATGAAATAGGAGAATTCACTTGGGTAGAGTGTTGGGACATTTCCCCTGTCTTCTCCATGGGAGAAGGAATGGGGAGGAATACTGCCTTAAACCAAGTGGCTGGGCTTCAGACAACCACTCATAGAACATTGGCACGGGGCAGGGAGTGCCTACAGAAAAGGGAGACCCGCATCCCATTCCCAGGCTGGATGCTTGCTGGGCAGTAGAAACCCATAGATTCACCCCAATGTGAGGGGTGCTGGATGAGACCGACACCCACACCTTGGAGTTTAGGGGCATATATGAATGTTGACAGGTGGCTGCATCTCTCCTGGTGAATGCTGAAGTCAGGAGGCTTATTTGAGCAATATGGACAGACTGGGAGGAAGGCTGTTCTGAACATGGGTCAGCCTGCACTAACAGTTGTTGGCATGGTGAAGACACATAGGCTGAAAGGGAAGATGGCAGTGCTTGAGTCGTTCTGCCCTATACCCTGCTCTAGGGGTTTTGAGAGGTTGTGGGATGTATGACAGGGCCTGGAGCTAAGGGGAAGGGCAGAAGGGGTCCTGCCAGAATGCACCTTCATGGCAGGTAACTATAAGGGGTTGGGGAGGGGGTGGTGCTCCTACAGGGCCTCCTGCTGAATCTGCACATGGACTACATGAGAGAAACAATGGTTTTCTTTTTTTCTTTTTTTTTTTTTCCTTCTCACAGTGCATCAGCAATACAGAGAGTGCCACACAGCCTTAAACAAATGAAAGACTTTTGAAACTTTCCTCAAAAACACTCCTTTCCCAGCTGTGTTCATTTCCTATTGTTTCCATAGCAAATTTCTTAAAACTTGGCAGCTTAAAACAAAAGAAATGGGCTAGGCACGGTGGCTCACACCTGTAATCCCAGCACTTTAGGAGGCTGAGGCAGGAGGATCACTAGATCAGGAGTTCAAGACCAGTCTGGCCAACATGGCGGAAACCCGTCTCTACTAAAAATACAAAAAATAGCCAGGTGTGGTGGCGCTTGCCTTGTAATCCCGGCTACTTGGGAGGCTGAGGTAGGAGAATCACTTGAACCTGGGAGGTGGAGGCTGCAGTGAGCCGAGATCACGCCACTGCATTCCAGCCTGGAGACAGAGTAAGACTCTGTCTCAAACAAACAAACAAAAAGCAAAAAACAAACACAACAAAAATGTATTATCTTGTGGTCTTATAGGTTAGAGACACTAATGGATCTTACAGGGTTGAAATGAAAGTGTTAGTAGGGCTGAGTTCCTTTCTGGAGGCTCTGAGGGAGAATCTGTTTCCTTGCCTCTTCTAGCTTACAGAGGCTGTCTGCATGGTCCTCCTCCTCTAACTTCAAAGCCACTGATGGCAGATTGAGTCCTTCTCACTGCACATCTCTCAAATCCTTCTTCTGTTATAGCATCGCTCTGTAACCACAGCTGGGAAAAGTACTTCTCTTTTAAGGACTCATGTGATTAAGTTGGATTCACCTGGATAATCCACGATCATCCTCCCATCTCACAGTCCTTACTTTCATCACATCTACAAAGATCCTTTGCTATGTAAGGAAACATATTCATGGGTTCTAGGGATTATGACAAGGATATCTTTGAGGTAGCCATTTTTCTGTTTATCCCACCAGCCGTGACCCTAGAGAGGCCACAAACAGAGATGGGGAGGCATAGAAGGAGGAAAAGAATATCCATTGCTCCTCCGTTCTCAAGTCAGTCAGGCCACCTCTCAGCTGCAAGAGGAAAAAGCTTTGAAGTGGATACATGATTCAAGTTTTTATTTAGACAGCAAGACTCTTCTTTCTAATCCTTGAAAGTGGTTTTTAATTATGGAAAGAACTATTGGTATACCCTAGAGTAACCAAAGCTTGTGACTGTAGAAAAATAGTTATTTTTCCACTAGTGCCTATTCTAGTTCAGACTAGTCAATATCAGTTACACAATTATAGTTTTGATTGCACTGTACATATAATTTAGCATCCTACTTTTCTACCAAGAAATTTCTCTTTTTGGAAATTTTCTGGGGGAATAATCAGAGACAAAAGACAAAGACTTAGTACAAGGATATTCATGACAGCATCATAAGTTCTTTCTTTTTATTCTTTCTTACCCTGCTTTGAGTTCATGTTCTATTATTACAATAAATGTAGTGGGGCTTTTTCCCCAATTGTCTAAACTGCCTTGTTTCTCTGTCTTTTTTTCTTTCAAAACTCTACATTATAAAGAAACCCAATTATTTACTTTCTTCATGCCTGTGTTGGAGAGTCACATCAATGTCAGAGAAATTCACACAATAGTGCAGATTAATCTCTATAAGTTCATGATCACAAAACTCAAATGGACCCTCAATAGCAGCCAAATAATCCTAGTATATTTCTCTGGTTTGCTCACTCTCCTCCTCAGAATGAGTTTTTAAAAACTTCTCAGTTCTCCTAAAACTTCAAAACTCTCTCACTCCCTTTAGTTAAGCTTCAGGTCTGACCACTTTCTGAAGAGAAGCCATTCACAATGAATTGCCCCCTCTTTTCCTTGTATATTCAACTTCTTCATCTCAATTGGTTCTCTTCATTTCTATTTTTATTCTTTTAAGCACATTCAAGTTCTTCCCCCATGTGGTAGGCTGAATAACAGCCCCCACAAAGATCATCCATATTCTAATCCCTGGAACCTGTGAATACATTACCTTCCATGGCAAAAAGGACTTAGTAGACATGACTAAATTAAGAATCTTAAAATTAAGAGATTCTCCTGAATTATCCAGATGGGCTCAATGTAGTCTCAAGAGTCCTTATAAGGGGAAGGCAGGAGGGTCAGGGTGAAAAGAAAAAGATGTGGTGGAAATATCACACATGAGAGACTGCTCAACACACAAATCCCCTAAAGTACATTCAGCCCCAGAAATCACATTTGCTCTTTTCAAATCAGATTTAAAAGCTACCTTGATTGTAAGTATATTAAACACAATGATCAGAACAGTTATTTTTTCCATGTTGCGCTCTACATTCCCCCGGCACCAATGTATCCTGATTGGTACAACTTATATATATTTACAGATAACTGTAGAAATAACATAGTATTTAAGTGCATCTTAATGTATGTGAATACTAACCATGTACATATAAGAGGAAGTAAAATTCCTAAATGAACTATTTTTCTAACATCTGATGGATGATTATTTCAAGCTACTATACAAAGAAAATTAAAATACTGTGTTCTGAATAATGCTGGATTTAGACAAGCTTGAATAAGAAACACCAATGCTATCTCTTTCTGACTGAAAAATACACAATAATTTTGGACCCATATTTTAAAAGATAGTTTCATAAATAGGAATTATAGTCGATTCTACATTTTTTCTTTTCTTCTCTTAAAGATCCTCAGAACCTAGTAAAGGGCAAAGAATTCTTAGTCAAGTAATCTTAGTGGCTACAATAATACAACAAATCCATAGAATGAAAAGTTTCTGGTTTTGAGGATTTTATCTGAGATTTCCAATTAAAAATTCAAGGTTGATCATTATTCTATCAGATGCAGCATTCACATTTATGAGTAGAATTTATACACAAAGAGTATTGTGATGGTTAATACTGAACATCAACTTGATTGGATTGAAGGATACAAAGTATTGTTCCTGGGTGTGTCTGTGAGGGTGTTGCCAAAGATTAACATTTGAGTTGGAGGATTGGGAGAGGCAGACCCAGCCTCAGTCTGGGTAGGCACCATCTGATCAGCTGCCAGTTCAGCTAGAATAAAGCAGGCAGAGGAAAGCAAGAAGAGCAGACCCGCTGAGTCTTCCGGCCTTCATCTTTCTCCTGTGCTGGATGCTTCCTGCCCTTGAACATTTGACTTCAAGTTCTTCAGCTTTTGGACTCTTGTACTTATACCAGTGGTTTGCCAGGGGTTCTTGGGCCTTTGGCCACTAACTGAAGGCTGCACTATCGGCTTCCCCACTTTTGAGGTTTTGGGACTTGGACTGGCTTCCTTGCTCCTCAGCTTGCAGATGGCCTATTGTGGAACTTCACCTTGTGATGGTGTGAGTCAACAGTCCTTAATAAACTCCCTTTCATATATACCTCTATCCTATTAGTTCTGTCCCTATAGATAACCCTAATACAAGTATTATCATGAGCATATTAGTAAGTCTTCAACACACATATCTGTAGTATATTTAGAATTCATTTGAAAAAGGATGTACATCATTGTGCAAACCTTACCTTTTCACCAGAGTTGTCTTTAGCTGTTGGAATCTGCCAGGTAACATTGGCAGAATCTTGCTGTTCCAGAGTCTTAGCCTCTATGTCCTTAGGACAGGTGATTTGGGGAGCCTCCACATCTAACTCAGAAAATACACAAGTCGATTAATACACTGACATGTAGTCCTAGATCATTTAAGGAAGAGGTAAAAATCTAGTTTATATTAATACATTGTGACACATTTGTACATCCCAGTTACTGATTGTTCAGAATCTGCACCTGCTTTCCTGATCATTTATCTCAGCATGGCTTACGAACCCAATCCTGAACTGGCACCTACTGACCTCGTAGCCTCATTTCTTCCTTTTCTCCTACTGGAACTCATTTTCCACATTGAGCTACTATCAGGCCATGGCCTTTCTTTTACTTGGGCCTTTGCCCATGTTCTTTTATTTGCGTGAATTAGTGCCCTCTTCTCTCTTTACCTGGATGTCTAGTACTTATCCTCGAACTCTCAGCTTAGACCCAGCTCCTCAGGAAGCTCTTGCTGATTCTCCAGGCCCTTTTGAGGTGCCCACTCCACAAGATCCTATAACCCTCTGGACTTCCCAACAATAAAACTCAACAAGCTATTTTGAAATGGAATTTTCTCCCCTAGTAGAATTTAAGTTATTTGAAGGTCAGGATGTCTTGCCCCACTGTCTTATAGGGTCCCTGGCATATAATAGGAGCTTGAGAAATATTTTTTGAACGAAATAATTTAAAAATGAATGTTGACTGTGACAGGTAGAAACTACACTTGAAAATGAGGCTGTCAAGTAGAATTAACTAGCAGAAACTGAAACGTACTGTCAAAGCAAACAACAAATTTAAGCCAATTATATTTTTTACTTCATACTATGGTGCTGAATTAGACGTGCTAACATTACACAGATGCACACCAGTCATGGTAGTGCTAAGTTTTTGTTATATGATAAAATACATCTTTTATTTTAATTTATGTTAAATTATGTCTTCTGTAACTTCTGGCTGAATATATCTGAATTGATTTCATTAAGTCTCATGTCTTCTTGTTTCTTCAAAATTTTATTCAATTTATATCTTCTTTTTCTCAAAGGGGCTTATACTTCAACAACATTCTCCCACAGGAACACATAGTAGCATATTAGCTCTGAAAATATTTTTTTTAAGTATTTGATTTTTCATTCATGCTTAAACAATAGCTTGACTGGACCTGGAATCTAAAGTTCATATTTATTTGCTCTCCATATCCTGTACACATTGCTACATTTCCTTGTGGCATTTAAAGTTGTAAATGAGATACGTAACGTGAATCTAATTCTCGTTTCTTTTGTACAATTTCTTTCTTTCGCCAGGGAAAATTATTTCAGATTTTCCCATTAACTCTGGAACTCGGAAATTTCACTACGAGTAGTCAAAATATGCCAACCCAATACTCAGGAGTTATTTGTGGTCTAAAGGATTAAGCCATTCTCTAGCTCAGAGAAATTTTCTTCTCTTGGTAGAAAAATTCTTCTCTATCTCTTCTCCTCTCTGCCTCTCTCCTTCTGGAACTCCTTAATAAATGGACATTGAGGTTTTTTTTTTTTTTTTCCCTTCTGTCACTGGCATCCCTCAACTTCCATCTTTTTGGTTTCATCAGTTGGGAAATTCAAGTGCTTTCTTTGTTTACTCATTCAGTTCTCCATTGTGAGGAAACTCAATTTGGTCTTTTAAATTACCAACAGCAATCATTCCATTCATTTGCCCTTGTCCTTCTCTTAGAGATAGTCAGGACTTTTTTACTTCTAAGAACTCTTTTATGTTTTCGATAACTCTTTTTCTCATAGTAGTCTGCTCTTGTTGCAGAGAAAATGGCAATGTCCTCTTATGAATGGAATGTGATGCCAGGTTTCAAAGTGCTGATAGCTTTTTTTTGAAAATCAATTCCGTCTCACCTGTTTTATATAGACCAAGACTTCCCTAAAGATTTTAGTCTTATGGAAAACTTACCTGATTTTCAGTTCTACTATTTTCCTTATTTGTGTATTTCTTTGTCATTGTCTGGCATTTTGTAATTGGATTTTGTAAATCCACCACTTTGAATCAGAAATCCTCATAGTGGATATTGGGGTAGCACCTACCATATTATCATGGGTTTGCAGCAAAAGTTGCAAAGAAGGATTGTCCTATACTGCACCTATATGGCATTATTAACACATTTGATTTTTAACCTGACCAGTGTAGAGACCTACCTTTACACACAGCTGTCTGAACTCCGACATTCCATTTTCCAGAAGTGGTACATCTCAGCATTTCTTTGATTCCAGATAAAATGAACCCTTGGTGGCAACTTACATAGCAGATTGTCCCAAATTTGGCTGGCTGCTTGCCACAGTTGTGGGGGGATATGATGACATCTTTGGGCGTCTGAAAGGTGGAGCAGTGGCGCTCTACAGTAGGGAAATGAGAGAGAATGTTACTCGTGTTCCCACAAATTGGAAATGCCACAGATTCTTTTTTACCCAAGAAAAATACAATTATGCTGCCCTGGGATTTATGTAAATTGCTAAATGATAACTATATATGACACTGAATGTATAATGTATTGTAAATAATGCTAACCTATACCTCTTTAGTTATCTTTTACTATTTTTGCCAGTGCATCAAAACTTTCAAAAACTTCTGATATTTTAATTAACACTGATTGTGACTTTTATCATTCGCTTGGAGCACATTCATTTGGTTTGCAGAATATTATTTTATGGCTTAGAAGTAGAAAGTCATAAATTGAATTCTATATTTCATGGTTTAAGTGATATATTCAGCAATCTCTATTTTATGAGCTTTTTGGTGCTATTTTTAAGCAAGCATATAATGAGAAAAGTTTCTAATAGCCTTCCTAAAATCACTGTGTTGTATTTAGGGCCTTGACCTTGAATGCTATATTTAGCACAGAAAAAGAGTAGCAGATGAATTAGGCAGAATGCAGATAGAATGAAAAATCAAGGCTAGGACTTAATACAGGGAGTGTATGTGAGGGGGGCAGCACGTGCACACACCCATACGCACGTTTGTTTTTTGTAGTAGAGAATCTACTGGCAGCGTTACTCACATCTTTAGTCTGTATTTTCCATGTTATTAGAATAGTTGAATAAATGGCTAACATTTATTCACTACCTACTATGTGCCAGGCATTATTCTAAGCACTTTGCATGTATTGACTTATTTAATTATATGTTGTAAGAAGTATTCCAACTTACACACAAAAACTGAGCACACTAGTAACTTTCCTAAGGTCACCACGCAAGTAAGTGGCAAAACTTACTTGCTACTAAACACTCCACTATCATACCTCCCCCGTGAAATAATTTCCTTCTGAACTGTGCCAGCAAAAGCCATTTTTTCCTGAGAAATGGTTTGTCTCTTTATTTCTGCACAGTGTGAACTGCATGCCTGCCCAGAGCTCCTAGTGTACTTTGATCAACAGGAAAATCAAAGCCAAGTTTGTGGTTCGAATATAATGACAATGTGAGACTCAGTATCCTTTATTTAGGGCCGGCCCTATATAAAGCAAGAAAATTATCCTTTTGGCTGTCAAAGTTGTTGAAGATTTTATTCTTTTTTTATTGCTTGTTTATGGTACTTTTCAGTGAACACGTCTTAAACTTTTATATAGTCTAATCTACTGAGTTTTTTTCTTTTTGAAGTATTTCCATTGCTTTTATGCTTAGTAAGTTCTGAGATTGGTCAGCATTCACTTACATATGTTAAATAGATTCTCTTCTAGGTTTTAATGGTTTTACTTTTACTTTATCTTTTAAAATCTATGAAGATATTTTTTCAGTGTTCAGTGTGAATTGAAAACATACAGAAAACTTTATTTTATTCTGTTTTTCACAAGGAGCTAGTCAATTTTCCCTTATGATCAGTTAAAGAAATCATTTTTTCCCTCAACTGACCTGTGATGCTTCCTTAATTGTGATCTGTATGGTAATCCTTGCATATTCTTAATCTTTGCAGATTAAAAAAGATTTGAAAACCTGCTAGAGCTACTTTCTATTTACTATTCCTATTAATCTTCCTTTTGAAACTGATTTTAGTGATTTTTTTCACTATAACAGTTTTCTAGATGAATCCTAGAATCAATCCCTAATTCCAAAAGAAGGGCAAAAAAGAAAATCCCTTTTAGGCTATTGAATGAGTTTGCATTCAATGTATTACATGTATATGCAATACATATATATGTAATGTGTTCTTTCCTTATGTTAATTTGGAAAGAACTTAACATAAATGTTACTAGATATTAATATAATTAATATAAATATATAAATTATAGAATTATAATATATAATATATAAATTATGTAGTAATGTAAATATATACAAATTAATATAAATAATTTATATAAAAATACATCATTTGGAAAGAACTTAACATTCTGAAAACATTTTATATAAATATTAAAATATTATTTTCATCTCTCAGTAACATTTTTCTGGTTTGCTTAATACAGGTTCCACACATTTCTATTTAAGGTTATTCTGACATATTTTATATTTTCCATAGATCTTTTGAATGTCATATTTTACCATATGTTCTGCTTATCATTGTATATAGAAAAGCTGTTTGTTTTATTTTTATTTATTTATTTTTTCAAATCTCTGCTGGCAGATATATTTGCTATTCTTGTGACTTTAATGACCTCTCATTGATTAGTAGATTCATTCTATTTCTTGGAGTGGGGAGGGGGGGCAGGCTTGTAGTCTACAAATGATGACGATCTTGAATCCCAGTATCTCTAATCTCATAATTTCTTACAATAGCTAAAGATTTAAGAATAGTACTAAACAATGTGAGTACATTTTTCTTTTGCCAGATTTGATAAGACTGTCTATATTGTTTCTCCATAAGTGGCTGCAGATTTCAGATTGACATTTTTTATTAAGTGAGTTATATCAATATGAGCTTTTAAAAATTTTACTGAAAATGTGTCTTAAATAATGAATTTTTATCTTCTGCTAAGCAACTGTACAATTTTTTTCCAATTTGCTATAATGAAGTAATGTATTATACTGATAGATTACTTAATGTTAACTCCTTTTTGCAATCTTAGAATAAACTTTACTTGTTTTGGCTGACTATTCTTTTTTCAATGTTGGTTGCTAGTATATTTGCTTTTACAGTTATATGTAATTGGTCTATAATTTTCTATCTTTTTTTGGTAATAATTGTCAGGTTGACAATGAAATAATAATAGTTCAAGAATATGAATTGGCTGGCTTTCCATTATTTGGGCCAAACTATATGGTATGGAAACTTCTTAGAAAAATTCTATTTTTTAAATTTTTTATTTTTTTGAGACAGTCTTGCACTGTCGCTGAGGCTGGAGTGCAGTGCCGTGATCTTGGCTCACTGTAACCTCCACCTCCCGAGTTCAAGAGATTCTCCTGCCTCAGCCTCCCGAGTAGCTGGGATTACAGGCACCTGCCACCACACCTAGCTCATTTTTTGTATTTTTAGTAGAGACAGGGTTTCACCATGTTGGCCAGGCTGGTCTCCGACTCTGACCTCATGATTCGTTCACCTCAGCCTCCCAAAGTGCTGGGATTACAGGCATGAGCCACCTTGCCCGCCCAGAAAAATTCTATTTTTGAATTTTTCTTACTTATAATTTAAATTCTATTTTATTACTTTATTTAAAGCTTTGCTTCTTAACTATTCTACTGCATCCATTCTCCCTTTATAGTTCTTTTTCATTTACTTAAACAATTCTGATAGTTCTTTTTCATTTACCTAAACAATTCTGATAGTTCTTTTTCATTTACCTAAACAATTCTGAGAGTTCTTTTTCATTTACTTAAACAATTCTGGTTATATCCTTCTTTCAATTTTCCTTGCAGTTGTTTTATTTTCCTAACTTTTCAGTTGAATGTTCAGTTATTTTTATTTGTTCTTGTGTAATAATAAAGCAATTTTAAAGATTCACCAGTTCCTAATTTTGTCCTTCCATTAATAACATAAATGTAAAACATGTTTAACAAAGCAAGGGAATGATGAGGCATTTGCGTTTTTAAAAAATCCATCCAAATTGGCCTCAATTAAAACTAAGAAAAAAGACATGGTCATTTGAAGGTATAAACTTCTGTGAGTTGGACAACAGAATTCATTGTAGAAGTTCCTTGACTAGGGGAGAGGAGTAAGACAACACATTTGTTTTTGTATCTATAACACCTACACCTGTACATGTGGATGTGTATTTATACTCATTACCAGCTAGTGTTTAGTTCTAGGTCTTCACAGAATACTGGAGAAATCAGAGCAGAGGAAATGAATCACCCAAGGCATTATACCTTCTAGAAACTTACCCACACACCGGGGTTCTGGCCCATCCCAATGGCTGTTTCCTTGACAAGTAAGCTTATCATTGCCTTCTAGTCTGTACCCTTCATCACAGGCAATGAAACATGTTGTCTTATATAACATTTCCCTTGTAGAACAGCTCATGTGGCCATGTTTGGGCTGGCGGAGATGAGGACATGTTCTTACTACATAAAATGAAAGCAATTAGATCAAATTTTACTAAATAAGAATAAAGATAATAATTACAAGTTTAGCAATGCCTGCACAGTGTAAACAAGACAATTTTCTTTTCTTAAAATAGCAAACGATACATAATACACCACCATTTTTTGAGTTCTTACGGGACAATTGAAAGTTCATGTTTTACCAAATGCATTGCCCAAATAGTATCACAGCATGCAGCCCCTCTGCCCATAAGTGGGAAACTTAACCTGTCTGAAGGGCCTGGCCCTACATGGAAGATGGTAACTGTAGATTGGAGGTGATCACAAAAGGGAGGTACCTGATACTCCTAGCTGGGCCTTTCCTGTGATTTTTCAGGCAACATTCCAACAAAGGAAGTGGTCTTTTCCAGGACAGAGTTTTCAGGTTCATGATCAACTTGGTTCTTAGACCTCATGGGCATATCCTAGGCCTCCTAATAGTGTTAGTTTCTGCAAAGCTGCCCAACTTTTGCAATCTTCAGTTCAATCTACTGTCCAACCCCAACTCTTGTTCTTCTAGCTTTTTTACTTCTCATTCCCACAAATATTCCTGCCAATCATAGCTCATGATGCAAATCTCGAATTATGCATTAACATCCGTTTGTTTATTTTTACTGCTGTGGTAGAGGCTTATAGTTGCCCACCCAATAGCCATTCTCACCAGTTTTATTAAGCTTAGTAATATGCCCAGCTAGAAGACTACAACTGTCCACCTCCGCATCAACTAATGAAAGCCAATAAGAAAAAGCTGAGATTGAGCAGGGCTTCTTGGAAAGCTTTTTAAAGGGGGCTGTCTCAATTGAGAGAGTACTTCTTTCCCTTCCCTGCTCCCTTTTCCTTTTCTTCCACAATACAGACATGAGGAATGGTAGCCCAGCATACTAGAGTATAAGTATATGATACTATGGGAACATATCATGCACCATGATGGTATAGCAAAAAGCATAGGAAGTCTGGGTCTCTGATGACAGTGGAGCTATTACACCAACTTTGGATTACCTACTTCTGTCCTTTTAGTTAAAAGAAAAATGAACCCTTAATTGGCTTAAGACATTGTTATTTAGGTCCTTGATACCAGCTATACACAATTTCTAATTCCATCTGCCCAGCATCCATTAACTTCTCCTTTGGTAATTTTTTAGGGAAAGATCTTTCCCCTCTCTTGGATCATGGGATGTGTGTGTGCTCCAAATGTGCTCAGGGGTAGAGCATGTATCTAGGAGCACATTCCCCTGGCCAGAGAAGTGAGCAGGCATAACTGGTGACATGGTTTTCTTCATCTTCTTTGAATTCACCATGAGAAAACAGTAGGAAGGATATTCGCTAAACTGTGGATGCTGAAAACGCCCCCATACCTCAGCCAGCCTCAACATCACCATCAGAAAAAGTGCCACGAGTTATCCAGAGAAATCTGCATTTCCGCGGTTCTGTCACCTTTGAGTCTCTGTCCTCAACACTACATCAGAGAAGCTACCGGAGAGCGCTCACGCTGCTCCAGCCTCTGCAGGTTCCCAAACGATGTCTGTGCTCTGAGTTTTCCTGGTTAAGAGTCTCCAACTGCCCACTCAAACCCAACAATGTATGTTAGAGTCCAATTCCATTGATTCCATCATTTCCTATATTCCTGTTGATGGCAATCTCTTAGAAAGTCCAAGGCTCCCTAGTTATCTCTCATCCACCAGGGTTATCCACATACAGCTGTGTTCCAAATCTATCCCCACAGACCCTTGGACCTGCCTTCTGGAATAACGGTGGGTTTCAGTAAATCAATTCATATCCTAAACTTCCCTTTGAGCTACTTTTCCTTCACTTGATTGCCTTAATAAAAATCGTGTTGTCTTCTATAACAGGGACTGGAGGTGAGGAGGTGTCTCTGTTGCTCCTGATTGTCTTCCCACATCATTCTCTCTCCTTCCTTCCTAAAAACTTCCAGGTCCTTTGAAGTATCATATTATATATCCAATATCCTTTTTTAAATTCTCTGTCTCTCTCTCTCCTCTCTCCTTTTTCTCTCTCTCCTTCTCTCTCACACACATACATACACGCCTTAGTGACTTCCTTATCTATGTAAATGATCATTCCAGTATCCTGGAGTTATATTCCCGATCTCTTCTTTTCTTTTCTCTCTCTCTCTCTTTTTTTTTTTATTACACTTTAAGTTCTGGGGTATATGTGCAGAACATGCAGGTTTGTTACATAAGTATACACGTGCCATGGTGGTTTGCTGCACCCATCAACCCATCATCTACATTAAGTATTTCTCCTAATGTTATCTCTCCCCTAGCTCTCCTACCCCCCGACAGGCTCTGGTGTGTGATATTCCCCCTCCCTGTGTCCATGTGTTCTCACTGTTTAACTCTCACTTATGAGTGAGAACATGCGGAGTTTGGTTTTCTGTTCTTGTGTTAGTTTGCTGAGAATGATGGTTTCCAGCTTCATCCATGTCCCTTGAACTCATCTTTTCCTATGGCTGCATAGTATTTCATGATGCATATGTGCCACATTTTCTTTATCCAGTCTATCATTAGTAGGCATTTGGGTTGGTTCCAAGTCTTTGCTATGTGAACCCTAGAAGAAAACCTAGGCAGTACCATTCAGGACACAGGCATGGGCAAAGACTTCATGACTAAAACACCAAAAGCAATGGCAACAAAAGTCAAAATTGACAAATGGGATCTAATTAAACTAAAGAGCTTCTGCACAGCAAAAGAAACTATCATCAGAGTGAACAGGCAGCCTACAGAATGATCTCTTTTCTAACGATCATATCCTTCACCTTATCTCAGCTTCTACCATTGCCATGCCCCCTAGACCTCGCTGTCACCAATCCAAGTTTCCTAGTCTCTGACAATCACCTCTTATCTTCTGGGATCACTCCTTCAAGTGCTTTAACTCCATCAGTTCCCATACTCTCCAGGAGCCTCTGATATATCACGTTCTGTGTTCTCCTCTTTAGAGAAAACCCTCTAGAAAGAGTTTATAATCTTGTCCAACACTTCTCCTCTAGTTCTAACTTAGATTCTCTCCAATCAGGGTTTCCAAGCAGGAGAAGGAGGGAGGAGTGTAAAGGAGAAAGGAAAAGCCGTGAAGAAGGGAGGGGAGAAGAAAGGAAAGAGAAAGGGAGGGGAAACATAGGTGGAGGAGATGAAGAGGAGAGGAGAAGAGGAAGAGCAGGGTGAGGGGAAGGGGAAGTCAGAGTAGGAAAGGAGGGTAGGGGAGGGGGAGGGGAAAGAATAAACAGGGAAAAAGAAAGAGGAAGATGGGGGAGCTGTCAAGACCCATGGAAAATGCACCCTCTCAGTCAGAAGACATGCACATTCCAGTCATGAACAGAGATTGGAGAGGAAAAAAGAGTCAGTGCCTGTTGAATATGCCAAATGATGGGGACATATATTAATCTTGATAGATTATAGATAGAATCCTACAAGCATCGGGCATTGTACAAAAGACAGAAATAACCCCTGCAAAAGAATAAAGTTTGGTTTCCTCTCGGAGAGCTCTTACAACAATCTCTAAAGATTTTTGAACAAAACATTTGGGACTCAAGAATTTTGTTGAGACTCCGGGTGGGATATATATTTTCTTCTTCTACTTTTCTGCATTTGCCAATTGTTCATACCATGCATATATTTAGTTACATTGAAGACAACCTTAAAATATCAGGAAAGGAAGCTGGGGGCAAAATGTTCAAGTGCATATTCAACTGAAGTCATTGTTTGAATTTATCCTACAATGAACCCATTCAAATTATATTAATCAGCAGAGCATCAATATTATGTGCATTAAATAAAAGTTTAGGATCGATTACTCCTTAGAGAAAATGCAAGAGTTAGATTAGAGATTAAATAATAAGTCCTAGCCTCTTTTATCCCTGGAATAGTTTGGACCAAAGTCAAGTATTAATAAAAAATGATCAGAAACATTTTGCCTTCCATGTTTTAATTTTTCCTGAATGTGTCCATTATACAAATAGAATCTTTATTGTGTCTACCAAGTGCATGGAAACATCTTGTCTTCCGCATTTTGACTTTTATTGAGTGTGTCCTTCATGTGTATCACAATGCCAAGTGTAAGATAGGATTAAAAGGTGAATCAGATAAATTCTGATGTATAAAATTTGGAAAACCATATTAAACAATGTTTTGGCTTCAACAAACTGCCAAGATGACTCCAGCTTTCCTAACCTGAGACCAAATAATAAATTAGAGTCGGTACCTCATATAGATGCAAATTATACTGCTTCTCAGATGTTGGTATTAATAAACTTCCATTGCTCCCCAGTGTAAACAAAGCATATACAATGATTCCTATTTAGTCCTTAAACATTTCACTCAAGAATGAACACTTAATATCATTTTAATAGGAACACACTTCTTAAAGAATTTTCAACTTATTTTTTTTTTTCATTTCAACAAGCTGAAAAATCCTACAATTAATATTTCTTGACTTACATTTATGTTATCACAATCCCTAAATATTTATTTGGTCTTTTTAGAAAACAGCAACTTAGACTTTTAAGAGAACAGTCTACTTGTAGTAGATAATGTAAGAAGCTACTCTGGTTCCCATCTTAAAGAGTAATCAGATTTTTTTTCCAGGCACGTGCTTCCTGTTAGTCTCCAAATTGTGATAGTATCTATTACTGAACCTTCATTGGTTGAACGTTTTTTCTCAGGTTTATTTAGTTAAGACTGAGAAACCACAAAAGAATCCTTTCCTGTTTAGAAAGAAATGCAGAATTCAGATAAAACTGAAAATGAGTATAAGTGCTTTATGAAAAGTGCATAGGAGAAATGAGAATCAAGCTTACCAATTATTAGTCAACATCCACAAAAACATTAACAATGTAACATGACATTTGTAAAAGTCTTTAGATTTTATGCAGGTCTTCCATTTCTGCCTCAATCTTACAAATATTTTTAAGAAGGTGTAATATAACTAAAATTATTCACTGTTCTTATAATTAAATCTGTAAAAATATACTACTTTCTCCATACTAACCACCATGAAACAGAAATGAATTCCTACCTAACCGCCATATTTCACTGAATCCTCCATTGTAAGACACAATATTATTTTATGTGCCACTAACAAAGAAACAGTAATGCCAATTAAAGGGTTTACTGCCACTGATTTTAAGATGCATCTCCATTTTAGAGATGTTAAAATGTTTTTAAAAATGTGTTTCAGATTTAGTGAAATATGGTATGTGTTTCATAGAACAATATCTGATGTAACTAAATACATTGAGCATTAGTGAAAGTGTAAGGACCTGGGTAAGTACCTTCATTCAGTACAACTTTGTATACTGGTAGGTTAGCAGTAACTTTGGTGGTGAAGTTGAATTGTAGCATCTCTCCTTACTCTGCTTTAAATTATTTTATTTATATTGGAATTGCAATTGAAATTACATGAAAGAGAACAAGCATGCTTTTTTGTAGACAGGGTCTCAATCTGTCACCCAGGCTGGAGGACAGTTGTGCAATGATGGCTCACTGCAGCCTCCAACTCCTGTGTTCAAGTGACCCTCCTGCCTCGGCCTCCTAAGTAGCTGGGATTACAAGCTTGTGCCATCACACCCATGCATGGTTTTTAATATGAATGACAGAAGCAGGTCATCAATGTATATACTGTATTTATCAATGTACATCAATGTATACCTTTATCAATATCTGTATTTTTTAAATTCAAGTTTCCATTCATTCACCAGAGGTATCATCAATGATTGAGGGCCAAAAGTACATTCTGTGCTCATAATGAATTCAGTTTAGCAGAGGGGGTAGACAACTTAATTACCAATAAAAGTGTGGCACTTTGTATTGCGACAAATGAGTTACACTGGGAAATATGTCTGCCAGAATCCCTTTACTGTGGTTCCAAGTTAGGGTTGATCAAAAGAGGAACTTGGACTTGATTTTGGAAGGCAGAAGTGAGGAAGTGGTCATTGTCATCAGTCAGTGATAGAAAAATGGAGTAACACCCAGGAGGTTCCAGCTTGCCCTTGTTTGCCTTCATTCCACATCCCCACTGCTGATCCCATGACCAGTGGTGGCCCCATGTTCATTGCAAGGTTCTTGGCTGCAGAGCCACAGAAACATAACTACACAGAAGTAAAGCTTCTCTTAGGCCTTCCATGAGTTTCTCCTTAGCAATTCCACTTCAAAAGCTGGGCAGGCTCTCAAGTTGACTTGTCAAGAACTCCTCTGATCCTCCCACTCCTCTTCTGTTTCCAAGCTCCTTCTAAAATTGTGTAAGCTCCATTTCCTGAAATAAATTTCTCATCCCATAACATGCATGGTGACTGTGCTTCCCTGACTGACCCTGACACATAGCATAAGAAACACAATGAGGGGTGGGGGTAGGTCTGCATATGCAGATGCATGTGTAGAGGTCATCCCATTCAGGAGGAGGAGGTTGGCAGCAGTGGAGGTTGAGAGGACCCAGAGCAAAGGCAGAACCAGGCTGCGGGAACAGCTTCAAAGGGCCGGCTTCCTGAGAGAGCATGGCTATTTCTTACAGCTTTAGGGTCACACACACAAGGGTTGGTGATGGAGGGTGGAGGCTCGACAGGCAGGGGCCAGACCTTATCCTGAAAGGGCAGTCTTCTCTGATTTTCTTACCTCTCTTTGGAAGGCTACTGAGTGGCAAGTTAAAATGTAGTATTTCCCATGCTCCACCATAAGGTATTTGGAAGAAGGGGTAAAGATTTTACACAGAACTTAGAACTATTGACTTCACAAAAATGTATTTTACAAGTTTTCAAGGATTCATTTTTTCAGTAACGGTATGTGGCTTTTTACCATTTGAGGCTGCATGACTGAAAATGTCTTTCCTTTGCCTTCACACATGAACAGTAGCTTGCTTGAGTTTAGAAATCTAGGGTCTATTCTTTTCCCTCAGAATCCTGGCAACATAGTCTTATTTTCTAACATTGAGAATGGCCAACAAAGGGGCCTAAGGCTAATCTGATTCTTTCTCCTTGGTAGGTAGTGTTGTTTCTAACTATGAAAGGGACACAGTTTTCTGTTTTTCTAGGGCATTCAGAAAGTTCACTAAGATTATTTCCAGACATAAATCTGTTTTTAATATTTTTTTGTGGAACTTACTAAGTAATGTTAAATTGAATATCCAAGATTTGGGTTGTGAATATTTTCAAAATTTCAGTTCGGGGATATATCTTTAGATCTTCTACTGGTGCATCTCCTCCATTCTGTTCTCTCTCTGGATTCCTCATGTGAAAAGAGTCTACTTCCTGTGACTATTCTCATGTTACTTTATTCTTTCATATTTTTATCTCTGAATTTTTTTGATGGACTTTCAAATGAATTTCTTGAGTTGGTTTTCTAATTTATTAATTTGACTTCTGACTAGGTCCATTCATCGTGTCAGTAACTTTTTTTTTTTTTTTTTTTTTTTACTTCGAATACATATTTTTACTCTTAAATTTCTTTCATTGCTTGGAATCCTGGCCTTATTTTAGCAATGTAGTTGCCTTTGAATCTCAGTGATTGCGTTTTTCTTTCTTTTCTGTCAGGTCTCCTTTGTTCAATCTGCCGATTCTTTTCAGTTTTCCTTGTCTTTTGGGGATACCATGTAGGCCAATTTACATTTATAGATGAGTTCAGTATTGGTACCTAATAAATTGGTACCAACACAGATGTCTCCTGGGATTCACAAATGATCTTGGAGTCATGAGTAGGTGGTTCTACTTTATGGATATGGATGCCAAGAAAAGACCAGAAGACAGAACCACTTATCTTAAACCAGTGATCCAGCTGATTTGTAGGGTTTTGGAGCAGTCAAATCCTCAGCAAAGTGTTCTGCCAAAAAACGACTAGGGAATGTGGTGGGAGTAAGGTTGCCAGATTTAGCAACAAACAAACCGATGAACCAGGACGCCCAGTTAAATTTAAATTTCAGAAAATCAACAAATAATTTTTTAGTATAAGTTGGTTCCAAATCTTGAAGGGGACCTACATGTACTAAAATATTATTTGTTTATCAAAAATTCAAATTTAACTGGCATCCCATGTTTCACTTGGCAACTGTAGGTAGGGAGCAGATACTGTACCAAGAAGCTTCATGGTCAGGGATTCTGATGGAGGTCCTCAAGTCCCTTGGCTTGCCCCACTCTTACCTTTTCTTAAATATCCTCCTCTTCCAACCCTACTTGTAAAACCCTAGGAAGTTGGTTGTGTGACAGTTGTAAGAAGTAGGAAAGTAGGTCCTGGAGATGGCAAGTGGAGGCAGATTGAGGCACTACATATTTTTATTATTATTATTATTGCTTCTCTGTATTTGACATGGGAGCCTCAGATTCTATTGGTGGTGCCCACTTTCTATTGGCCTGAATAGGCTCCTTGGGCTCTCACGTTGACAAATTCTCTACTTTCTATAACAGGTCGACCAGCCGAAGTAAAGGCTGGAGATTACAAGTTGGCTAACTGCTCTTGTTGCAGGATGCTTATGTGATTCCTTAAGTCCTACAATTCCAGGAGGCATCAAAGTTTCCACTCCGATAATTCTAAACTCTCCTTTATACCATGTCTTGGAGGCTTGAAATTTGAGGTTTGGGGTAACCTGTCCATTTACTTCTCAGGCAAACTTTTTCTTTGCTTGTTCATAAAAGGGATATAAAAGGCGTAGTTTACAATTATGTGGTCAATTGAACTTGGTAGGTCTGATTTCAAATTTCCTATAATTTTTCTCTTTCTGTAGTGTGGGGTCTATGAAATCCAAAAAGAAATGAAGAACTGACTGGTTTACTAGAGTTTAAATCAAGAAAATCAAGCAAGACAATAAATAAACAATGTAAATTGGCAGTTTGCATACCTCTGCAGTAGCTCTCTGAACCGGACCACAAACCATTGGGTAGACACAAGATGATGCTGCTTCCCACAAGGTCAAATCCAGGGTGACATCGGACCCCACAGGCTGCATTGAAGTGGTTGTTGCAAGTGTTTTGGATAAAGTAACCATTTTCAGGAGGCTTCAGGGCAGGGCAGTGGACAACTAACATTTACAAAAATAAAATTGAAAAGCAAAGTTAGACTTTCGTCTATGACATATCCTGTATTTTTCTTTTTCTTTCAAGGGGACATTTATGCATACGTGTCAACCTACAGCATTTCCATTTACTGCATATGGATTTTCAAGTACATATTTGGAAGAAGAACCCTTATATCTGATTCCTATTAGGTACTAACTCCCAATTAAATTTTAAATACAAACTAAATATTATTTTTTAAGCTTTAAAAAATTATTTTATAGTTCTTTACCTTTATATGTCATTAGATACTTTTCCTCTTGACTAAGGTAGAACAAAATTAAAAACAAACAAGGCAGCAAAGTATATTTGCTACAAACCCCAAGAGCCACAGCTTCTTGTATATGGTATATGCTATTTCAATATTTTTAATTTTTGGTATGAATAATACTGAGACCCTTTACTTATACAAATATATTATTTCAAAGATAAATGTGACTAAGATGAGCTCATTTTTTTTTTTATTATACTTTAAGTTCTAGGGTAC